CTTCCCCTGAATGGTTCATCTTCCAGAGAATCGCACCATAAATATTTAATTGCATACCTTTGTTTTCTCTTTTCCTACTAAATTATTTTGAACTAAATAGGATACCCGGCAGTAACTGGGTCTCTCTCTCTCTCTCTCTCTCTCTCTCTCTCTCTCTCTCTCTCTCTCTCTCTCTCTCTCTCTCTCTCTCTCTCTCTCTCTCTCTCTCTCTCTCTCTCTCTCTCTCTCTCTCTCTCTCTCTCTCTCTCTCTCTCTCTCTCTCTCTCTCTCTCTCTCTCTCTCTCTCTCTCTCTCTCTCTCTCTCTCCTCTCTCTCTCTCTCTCTCTCTCTCTCTCTCTCTCTCTCTCTCTCTCTCTCTCTCTCTCTCTCTCTCTCTCTCTCTCTCTCTCTCTCTCTCTCTCTCTCTCTCTCTCTCTCTCTCGCTCTCTCTCTCTCTCTCTCTCTCTCTCTCTCTCTCTCTCTCTCTCTCTCTCTCTCTCTCTCTCTCTCTCTCTCTCTCTCTCTCTCTCTCTCTCTCTCTCTCTCTCTCTCTCTCTCTCTCTCTCTCTCTCTCTCTCTCTCTCTCTCTCTCTCTCTCTCTCTCTCTCTCTCTCTCTCTCTCTCTCTCTCTCTCTCTCTCTCTCTCTCTCTCTCTCTCTCTCTCTCTCTCTCTCTCTCTCTCTCTCTCTCTCCTCTCTCTCTCTCTCTCTCTCTCTTCTCTCTCTCTCTCTCTCTCTCTCTCTCTCTCTCTCTCTCTCTCTCTCTCTCTCTCTCTCTCTCTCTCTCTCTCTCTCTCTCTCTCTCTCTCTCTCTCTCTCTCTCTCTCTCTCTCTCTCTCTCTCTCTCTCTCTCTCTCTCTCTCTCTCTCTCTCTCTCTCTCTCATTAAATTTAATATTACGAACCACTACTTAAAACAAATCCCCAACTTCCGATTTAATTAAAATCGCCTAGGTGGCACTGAGGCCAATCCCGACCTGAGCCACTCCCACACCCCCAGTGTGTCATCTTGCAAAGTTGGGTGAGACTAGCCCCAAGCGTCTGGCCTCTTATTTTAGACAGACATTCTTTTTTTGTATCCACACATTGTTTAGTTGATGGGAGATACAAAGAGTAATTGACTCGAAGCTGGAAATGTAGAAAACTGGTAGAATTTGTGTGTGTGTGTGTGTGTGTGTGTGTGTGTGTGTGTGTGTGTGTGTGTGTGTGTGTGTGTGTGTGTGTGTGTGTGTGTGTGTGTGTGAAGCGAGTGAATATTATGAGATTTAGTGATAAATGGATATTAAACCCGGCAGGCACCGTCCCCATCTTAAACAAACCTATATGCCGTTGTTGCCTGCTCTGATCTTTCAAACCTAAACAGGGCACACACACACACACACACACACACACACACACACACACACACACACACACACACACACACACACACACACACACACACACACACACACACACAGCAAATTTCCCCGTAACAAGTGACGCCTACATGCGCATGCATATCTGCAGTAAACAGTAATGATTGTGTGTGATATGTGAGCGGAAGGTGAGTGATGGTGAGAAGCCGAGCGGGTGGCGAGGGGGGGGGGAAAGGAAGAGCGAGGATATATATATGTAACTGACTTCTAAAATAAGTGAAGGCCATGCGACACATGTGCACTGAGGGCAGATATAAGACGTTGCCCTTCGCAGCTGACAGGTGTGGTATAGGCAGCACTTCTGTGGTGCTCTGGGAGCCCTTTCCTGAGTGTCGGTGTGGACGACGTCGATGGCGGAGAGGGAGGGGGGGTCGATGCCCTTCCTTGAGGGTCGATGTGGGCGGCGACTTCGGCTGGGTGAGGGGATCGTCAGTAGGTGTTAGTGTGGGCGATGAAAGACGGGCCTTTTGTGGGCGTGGATGTTGGCGTGTGCGGCTGTATAGGGCTTTTTGGCCACTAGCATACCATTGGAGCTGTGGCTGCTGACTATGCCAGACTTGTCGCCCCCACCACACGCGTCGCAGCTTAGTACATTGTCTAGCGTTACTTCTGGCTTGATTATTATAGCGTGCTCTGTGAAAACATAATTACCACTTTCTGTACTCATTTTCCGCGCACTTAAAATAGCCAATTCATCCAGGTGAAGATGACAAACTAATTCTCAGCCTTTACGTCAACACCAGTAACCGGACGGGCCGTCAGGGGGTTCAACCCTAGCAATAATATCTTCATCGTCGCCAGCCAACACAAGCAACTGCTTCCCACCCTCCGGAGAGTTGAATACTCAATTTATTTTCGCTGACTTTAGGTAGACATAGAGGTTGGCGAGCGTGCCAAACGAGGTGCGAGGTGTCTCCATGCAACAACCCTAACAATGTTACAGTGACTATGTCTTGTTTGTGTAATGTATGGCTCCTGAAGTCCGATTAACGTGCTGATTTTAATTTCAGGGTCGGTTTATTTGGAGTGTTATGACAATAGTGTTTTAAGAAGTGAAAATTGATGTATGAAGAATTAAAGACGTTTATTTATAATGGTAAAAATGTAGTGAATGTTTGTACATAGAGCGACCAAAGGGTAATGTAAGGAGTGGAGTAGCTGGAGAGGAGAGAAGAGTGGAGGCGTGCGGGAGGATGTGGTACCCGTGCCAGTGTAGCGACTGTGATACCATAGTGGCAAACAACCTGAACAACGCTGCCTGGGTGGACAACGAGATGGGTTCCTTCCCTGTGATGCATGCCTTCCTCTCCCCCCACCACCCCGCCGCCGCCAAGATGGGCTACCAGCCTCCAACGATGGGTCTCCACCGCTCAGCCACCTGCGGCTTCATGCCCACCCACCACTTCTCTCCTTGGAAGGACGACTTCTCCGACCAGCAACACCTCATCAACGGACGTCTGGCCATCACGGACGGCAAGGTGCAGGATGTGGACGACGAGGACGATATCGTTAAGGCCAAGCTGACGATACGCAGCAGCAGCAGCAGCACGCAGGCGCAGCACGACACAAATCTAGCCGAAGATGGCTTCAAGAAGTTCCGTGACTACAGCGATGACTCCCTCACCCCCGACAGTACGCTCCCTGCCGTCATCCGTCGCAGAAACAGGAACAGACGCAAACAGCTGGCTGTTAGTACCGTCTACACCGCCTTTCACGAGACATGCACACACACACACACACGTATCATCATCTACATTGTTGTTATGACACGCAATATTTTCGCTTCTCACAATATCTTCGTCACATCCACAGTCCACATCACCACCGTCTTCACCACATACTTCTGTCACCAGGCACAGTCATCATCACATTCCTGTCACCACCACACTGCTATCATCACACAGTCACCATATATCATTGAACACAATCACCATTCATGCTTCGTTACATTTGTCCGTTCTACCCACTCACCATCTCCGTTACTAATACTCTCTCATCATCCCTACCTCCATAAGCCACTTGTCACACACAATATCTATGAGAGTTTGGGAGCCTGTTATGGATCCTGTTTGTGAATATTTTTGGAATTTGTATGAAACTTAAATGTTTGTTTTAGAAAGTGATTTCGGTAGGCAGCGGAGTTTTGTAGCAGATTTCATTATTGCACAACTTCTCACAGTTCATGTACGGCTGAAATTGGCATTCAAAATGTATCATGAGACACTTGAGGGCCTACCCCGTGTTATTTTTAACCCGCAGCTGCTTGGCAGGATCGAGAAGCATTAGTAAAACATTTTTAACTTTTTAATAGGCGTGGAGATTCATATAGTTTGTGCTGTTGCTGTATTTGTCTGTTGCTGTGGATGTGTGTGTGTGTGTGTGTGTGTTTGTGGCGTCCAGACAGACAGTGAATGAGTTTGTGTGTATGTGTATTTACGGTTTGTGTTTGCAGAATCGAACTACATTAGCTCTTGGACCCCGCGTTTCTAACCAATCTTTTTTTTTCCTCTATTGTCTACTACATATACTTCTCTTACACGCGCACACACACACACACATACACAGTCCCAGGCAGCAGCCCGTAGCAGCTGTCTAACACTCAGATACCTATTTATTGCTAGGTGGACAGGAGCATCAGGGTGAAAGAAACTCTGCCTCTTTGTTTCTTCCTCTACCGGGGATCGAACCCCGGGCCCTTAGGACTACGACCCCTCAAGCATTGTCTACTCAGATGTAAGGATCACCCCCTCCCCTTCACCCCACCCTCCCAGGCTCCTCTTTTGATATGACTTTTGTCCACTGTGTGTTCCATTGTAGTGATGGAGCCTCAGGATGCCACTTGTACTTTTTATGCTGTCCGGAAAACTATAGCCACATGCCAAACTTTAATATCCTTAGGTCTAGTATAGCATATACTGTATATGTATTATATTAGGCGTCAGCGTATATTAGGCCTAGGATAGTTAGGTAAGGTTTTATTAGCAACATTACTGTAAACAAGTTTTTCCGGTTTGTCCACATTCAGTACTACAAAAGTTTACTTTCTGAATATCTGGCACCGGGAGCGGCAGATATTCTGCCATAATCATTCAGTATTCTTCATACCAGGGTGTTGCCTGAAATGTGTCCTTGTATGCTGCGGAGCTGGCTAACTGTGTGTTGTAATGCATCTCTTTATACACCTGTCATTAATCTTGTCACTCCACGGTGCCCTGCACTCTCATCATACCAGCAACAGTAATGAATCCAGTTTTTGTGGTTTTAGATATGTCTAGGAAAATCATAATAGTTAAGGCCTTCATAGTGAATGATATTTAGCTGTTCTCTTGCTCTGTGTCACGTTCTTACTCTGAAAATGTCATGTTCATGGATATGTGCATGCTATATGTATGTCAGCTATGCCTTTTGCATCTTGTAAGACCCTACTGCATCACCATGAGCAGCTTCTGTATTTGTAGACTGTGTGAAGTGCTTGTACTGGTGTCTGCTGTGTATGATAGGTGCAGGTTTGTTTCTGTGTTCATGAAGTGTTGCCGTCGCCAGCACGCGTGCAAGTTAGTGTCATGAGTAGTAGTTGTGCCTTATTTGCCTCTGGTGTTCCGCAGACCTCCATGGTGGATCCCACAGCAGGGGGAGCACCGTGGGAAGGGGAAACAGCCAAGCCCCCACCACGGACACGCTCTCACAGTGTGTCTGATGACCAGTGGGCGCAAATGTTAGCAGCGGAGACCAACACCACCACCAACACACAGTCTCTGGGGGCTCCCTCCGGCCCCACCTGCCCCCCCGGCCACGTCCCTGCTGATATGTCGGCTTTCGCTGGTGCCGCTACCCGTCGCGGCTACAACAGCATCAACAACGCTGGGCGCAGTGGCGGTGGCACTCTTGGACGCGGCATGGTGTCCTCGGCGTCCGTGTGCGACCTGAACTCCCTAGCCCAGCAGCAGCAGCAGCAGCCCTTACACGGCTTTAGCAACGCGGTGCGTTTACACCATCTCACCCGAAAATTCAGTACAGTACCTGGATTTAGTTATGTATTCACGAATTAGTCTTTTATGTATCAGTCGGCAACAATTATTATTGGTTTAATAAATCGCTTTTCTCTCACTTTACAGGCCGGGAGCTTCCAGCAGCTGAACATGATGGGTTATGGTGGTGGCATGATGTGGGGAGCCCCGTGTGACCTGTGCCAGGCCCCGCCTATGTTCACTGGCCACCCCGGCATTAGCGGAATGAAGCGCACTGCCTCTAATCTCTCCATGAATCTGTCATCGGTAGGAAGTGACATGTCGGGTTATCCTTGGGCGCCGCCACCCCACATACACCATCACATGCCTATGTATCCGGGTTACTACCCAGGCTACCACCCACACATGGCCCCGCCGCCCATGGGCACCCCTATGGGCTTAAACATGTCAATACCCGACTCAATGCACACTTTTGGCAAGGTGCCGTCCTCGCCGGCGCCCTCGGTCCGTTCCTCCTCACACCGTTCTCACAAGTCTGCAAAATCCAGGTCCTTCAATGCAGGTGATGCAAGTGGCCGCCGTAGCCGCAACCGGAAAGCGAAGCGATCAGAAGAAAGTGAGGAGAGTCGGTCGACGTCTGTCAGCGAGGACGAAGACGATATTGATGACCGGGAGAGCAAGTCTGGCCACGGTGGGGTAAGCAGTCTTGCCTGGCAATGCGACCATTGTACTTTCATTAATTCCGGTGGGGCGCGAACCTGTGGCATGTGTTCCAAGACCGTGGGAGGTAGCGGCCGCTCCAGCCGCCGAGGCAGTGAACGGCGACGCTCCGAGCGACGGCGGGACCGACGAACTGATCAGGAAGATAACGAGCGTGATGTGTCTGATTACGACAACGATGGCGGGGTGGTGAAGAGTAATTTTTCCTTCAATATTAAAGATAGTAAGCGCGAGGCCCGAAACAAAGTGTCGGGCTCCAACAAGAGCAAGAGTAAGAAAAAGTCCCGTCGACGAGACGGCTCGGAGTCCCAGTCGGAGTCCGGGAGTGAAGGCGAGGAGGAAGAGCAGCTGGAGAGGCACATGCGAGACCTTAGGGTGTCTTCCTCCTCTCGCAGGCGAGGCAGTGACCACGACGGAGGCAACAACAAAGACAGAGATAGGGAGAGAACCTCACGAAAGAAAGAAGGTAAACTTAGGTGGAAAGACTGAGCTCACTCTCTCTTGTATGTGTTGCGTAAATTATTGAACATTGTTCTGCAAGGGGCTGAAGAACAAATATTAATTTGTCTGTGTATCACAGCATATTCTTTAATAAATACGGGCATACATTTCATGACTATATATGATGTCAATTTTTTATATTGTCCATTTTTATGCTGCTTTATGTGTTCATTTTGCAATGTCATTATGATCTTGCTAAATAAATGCATCACATTCGGACATGAGTTTCACTCAGAAATCCTAAAGCGTCTCTCCTGTATGTTACAGGAAGCGTCGGTCGCTTCAAGAATCGGGGCAAGAGCCACTCGGAGCGGTCGAGGACGCCGGGTCGCCAGACACCGAGGCGCTCCAGCCCAGCCGATGACCAGGCATCCCGGGGCGGCAGCTCTGACCGCAGCCTCCCAGAGGACGCCCGCACCTCCCGCACTCTCAGTGCTGACCCCAACGGACATCCCAACTCTCAAGAGGGTACATTAGTTGATACTTTCGTATCTGAGGCCACTGTCAAAAGTGGGAAAAAATCTAAATCAGACAGCAGTGAGCATAAAAGCAAATCTAAGGGATCCAAAGCTCCCAGTCCCGCCATTAGTGTGGCTGATGAAGAACCGGTTCATGAACAGGTGTTACAGGCCCCTGTTCTTGACGCTAAGGGTAATGGTGAAAAATCTAGATCTCCAAGTCCTCGACTGGAAATTAGGAAAAGTAAGTCCCCGGCACTGTCACAACGGACTTCTCGAGGTGAGGTCGATGACCCAAGTTTCGCTAACACTCTAGATGATATAGCGACAATGGGTACCAACGAGGTAGCAGACCAGGACCTGAGTAGCCACTATCTGGACGACCGCCCCCACAGTACTGATATCCAGGTGATACAAAACGATGACGTCCCCGTCGTCAATTACATCAGACCTGTCACCCCAGAAGAGCAAGCAGTTGACGAGCCACAAACCATAGTTATAGAGGCTCCACCTGGCAGAAGAGCGGACTTTAACAATATCGAAGTCAAAGAGGAAGCTGTGCTTATGGCGCCAGAAGACGTTGGGCATGTGGACAACAAAATACCAGCACACGAACCTTTATATGAACCTAGCTACGAGACAGTAGGACAGCCTGTAGAGATCGAGGCTCCGGAACTGGCTGAAGGTAAAACCATAATCAATGCGAACGATACGGACAGAGAGCAAGACAATTATCACACAGCAACTACCGGAAACACCGCTGAGGAGATGAAGGTGGAGGAGAAGCAACAAGAAATAGTGGCTGACGAAGAAATTTTGCAAGAAGTTAACGCCAAGCAGGGTTCACCCATGGACTTCCGCGGGGAAATGGCACGTTCAGCCTCCTCAGGGTCCTCCCTGGGGCTGAACTCACTGCCGCCCGACAGGCAGTACACGCCCCTCAGCTTCTCCTCCTCCGACGCCCAGTTCTACTCCCCACCAGACTCTCCTGATATCTCCCTCAGCGAGCAGCTCCAGGATAAGCCACCGCCTGGCTTCACACAGGTGACCCCTCCCCACTTCTCTCTTCACAACACAACGAACCTCAATACTTGTTCCCTGCAATATAGTGAACCTCATACTTGTCTCTCACAACACAATCAACCTCATAATTATTCCCCACAACACAGTGAACCTCACACTTATCCCACCACAGCACACAGCACTCCGCAACAGTACAGTGAACTTGAGCGTTAGTCTTCATAGTTATATCAGAGTCCTTTGGGTGATTTACTCTGCACACTTCCCAGAGCACTATAGAGTTTGGCTCGTCAGCATTCCCAGTAATACTTGTCTTGTATACACCTCCCCTTCCCAGTACACCTCCCCTTCCCACTTCACCTCCCCTTCCCAGTACACCTCCCCTTCCCAGTACACCTCCCCTTCCCACTTCACCTCCCCTTCCCAGTATACCTCCCCTTCCCAGTACACCTCCCCTTCCCAGTACACCTCCCCTTCCCAGTACACCTCCCCTTCCCAGTACACCTCCCCTTCCCAGTACACCTCCCCTTCCCAGTACACCTCCCCTTCCCAGTACACCTCGCCATCCTAGGTATATCGAGCAACCGATTAATTTTTTTTTTTTTTGCTTCTTTCTTTCACCTATCTTTTTTTTACAACACATATAACTTGTAACTGATGCAAAAACACACACATATTAAAGCTGTTAAATAAGTAAAAATAAATTAACAAATGAGCCATTATAATAATACACTCACAACACCTGAAAGAGAAAACTAACTACTACATCAACAAAAATTGCGACAAGTAACTACTGCATCAACAACAACTAAATTGTAGTAACTACAGCAGCAGTAATAACCGACAGTAGTAGTCGCTACAACAATAACTGACACACTAATAACTGTTTTAGCTACAACAAAATTATCCAACACTAGTAACTAGAACATCATTCATTAGTCCCGCGCCTTGTCGCTGCGCGGAGGGCTGGGGGCTCGTGCGGCGCCCTTGACCTGCAGCCAGATTCACAAAGCAGTTACGCTAGTACTTACGAACGTGTACATCTTTTCTCAATCTTTGGCGACTTTGTTTACATTTATTAAACAGTTTACAAGCATGAAAACTTCGTAATCAACTGTTGTTATTGTTATAAACAGCCTCCTGGTGCTTCGGAGCTCATCAACTGTCTAATAATTGTAAACAAAGCCGCCAAAGATTAAGAAAAGATGTACACGTTCGTAAGTACTTGCGTAACTGCTTCGTGAATCTGGCCCCTGGTGTGGGGATTTCTGTTCCCGTTCTGGTTGGTGTACATGCTAAGGAACCCCCTAACTCTGGACTCCAGTTCGGGTGAGTGGACAGCCCGCCAAAGGGGTCGCTCGTAGAGGTAAGTTTCGGATGTACTGAGTGATGAACGAAGGAGAAAGAAATCTTTGCACCGGCGTTGGAGAGCGATGCAAGAGTACTCGATCTCCGGTTGAGAAGGAGCATCCTTGGGGATGACGCACCCTTATCCTAACCTGGATCGCGCAGGGCCGCCTTCCACGTTGACCTAGTAGGTGGTATCCTATGGCCTCAGGACCCAACCTCTGTAAATGACTTTCATATGGTAATCGAAATCTCTACTTACTTTTGGACCGGAGTGACGGCCGACTAGACCCTGAAGTAGAATAGGCCTGGAAGATCAGTTTCCCACCGCTCCTAGCGGGGGTGCTTCCTGTGGGCTCAACCGCTCCTGCTCTATTGGGCCATTTGAAGATTCTATGATTTGGAAAATCTTAAAAACAATTTATATATTAATTTACGTGAGTGGAGGAAGAAGCTAGAGAGGATACGCATAATCTTGGATATTTATCTCTGCATAACAACCAATATTACAAAATATTAAGAACTACGAAATAAAAATAATGAGTAAAATTAAAGGAAAAAGATTCAAAACATAGTCTTGGGTAATTTATAAGAACCATTACTGAATAGGCAACCCTTGACCTTGGTACCAGACATAGGCCTATGAGCCATTTAGGCGAGGAGCCTATATATACACGAGGCAAGGACTCTTAGAGTACGGGAGACATCTCCCGTCACGCAGGGTGCAGTTGCACCTCCTCAGATCTCCAGTATCAGCTCTTGATACTGGTAATGGCTCCAAAGGGCCACCACTTACGGGCTATTCATGCCCGTACCACCTTTTGGGTGGCTTAATCTTCATCAATCAATCTTAGATTAGGGCAGTAACTAAGAACGACCTAGTAAAATAAAAATGAATATATTTAAAATAAAATGGAACATAAGAACAAAGTTAACTGCAGAAGGCCTATTGGCCCATACGAGGCAGCTCCTATTCTATAACCACCCAATCCCACTCATATACTTGTCCAACCCGCGCTTGAAACAATCGAGGGACCCCACCTCCACCACGTTACGCGGTAATTGGTTCTTGTTTGGTAATTGGAACAAGAAGAGTAATCACTTATTGACAGCTGGGGTGTACTACTGTAAGGAGAGGTACACCCACCACCAGCTGGGTGTACTACTGTAAGGAGAGGTACACCCACCACCAGCTGGGTGTACTACTGTAAGGAGAGGTACACCCACCACCAGCTGGGTGTACTACTGTAAGGAGAGGCACACCCACCACCAGCTGGGTGTACTACTGTAAGGAGAGGTACACTCACCACCAGCTGGGTGTACTACTGTAAGGAGAGGTACACCCAACACCAGCTGGGTGTACTACTGTAAGGAGAGGTACACCCACCACCAGCTGGGTGTACTACTGTAAGGAGAGGTACACCCACCACCAGCTGGGTGTACTACTGTAAGGAGAGGCACACCCACCACCAGCTGGGTGTACTACTGTAAGGAGAGGTACACTCACCACCAGCTGGGTGTACTACTGTAAGGAGAGGTACACCCAACACCAGCTGGGTGTACTACTGTAAGGAGAGGTACACCCAACACCAGCTGGGTGTAAGGTGAGGTACACCCAACACCAGCTGGGTGTACTACTGTAAGGAGAGGCACACCCATCACCAGCTGGGTGTACTACTGTAAGGAGAGGTACACCCAACACCAGCTGGGTGTACTACTGTAAGGAGAGGTACACCCAACACCAGCTGGGTGTACTACTGTAAGGAGAGGTACACCCAACACCAGCTGGGTGTACTACTGTAAGGAGAGGTACACCCAACACCAGCTGGGTGTACTACTGTAAGGAGAGGTACACCCAACACCAGCTGGGGTGTACTACTGTAAGGAGAGGTACACCCAACACCAGCTGGGTGTACTACTGTAAGGAGAGGTACACTCACCACCAGCTGGGGTGTACTACTGTAAGGAGAGGTACACCCAACACCTGCTGGGTGTACTACTGTAAGGAGAGGTACACCCACCACCAGCTGGGTGTACTACTGTAAGGAGAGGTACACCCACCACCAGCTGGGTGTACTACTGTAAGGAGAGGTACACCCAACACCAGCTGGGTGTACTACTGTAAGGAGAGGTACACTCACCACCAGCTGGGTGTACTACTGTAAGGAGAGGTACACCCAACACCAGCTGGGTGTACTACTGTAAGGAGAGGTACACCCAACACCAGCTGGGTGTACTACTGTAAGGAGAGGTACACCCAACACCAGCTGGGTGTACGAACAGCAAGGGGGGGGGGGTATATATTAAAGCAGGAACAGCAGAAAGTATAACAAAACAGGAGCAGCAGGGGGTATAATAAAGCAGGGATTATATTAGGGTAATAACCGCTGGGAATAAATTAGAGCAGGAACAACAGGGGATATAATAAAGCAGAAACAACAGGGGATATAATAAAGCAGAAACAGCAGGGGATATAATAAAGCAGGAACAGTAGGGGGATATAATAAAGCAGGAACAGTAGGGGGATATAATAAAACAGGGATATAATAAGGCAGAAACAGCAGGGATATAATAAAGCAGAAACAATAGGGATATAATAAAGCAGAAACAACAGGACTATAATAAAGCAGAAACAACAGGGATATAATAAAGCAGAAACAACAGAACTATAATAAAGCAGAAACAACAGGACTATAATAAAGCAGAAACAACAGGGATATAATAAAGCAGAAACAACAGGACTATAATAAAGCAGAAACAACAGGGATATAATAAAGCAGAAACAACAAGGCTATAATAAAGCAGAAACAACAGGGATATAATAAAGCAGAAACAACAGGACTATAATAAAGCAGAAACAACAGGGGATATAATAAAGCAGGAACAACAAGGCTATAATAAAGCAGAAACAACAGGGATATAATAAAGCAGAAACAGCAGGGATATAATAAAGCAGGAACAACAGGGGATATAATAAAGCAGGAACAACAGGGGATATAATAAAGCAGAAACAACAGGGGATATAATAAAGCAGAAACAACAGGACTATAATAAAGCAGAAACAACAGGACTATAATAAAGCAGAAACAACAGGGATATAATAAAGCAGAAACAACAGGACTATAATAAAGCAGAAACAACAGGGATATAATAAAGCAGAAACAACAGGACTATAATAAGGCAGAAACAGCAAGGATATAATAAAGCTGAAACAGTAGGGGATATAATAAAGCAGGAACATCAGGGGATAAAATAAAGCAGGAAAAGCACAAGTTATAATAAAGCAGGAAAACACAGGTAATAATAAGGTAAGAACAGCAGGGAGTATTATAAAGCAGGAACAGCAGGGAGTATTATAAAGCAGAAACAGCAGGGGGGGGGGTTGTATGTTAAATGAGAAACAATGGGGAGTATAATAAAGCCGGGATTATATTAAAACAGGAATTGCAGGAGATATAATAAATCAGGAAGAAGCAATTCAATTGATATCTTTATTATGCTCCCCATACCCATCCTGTGGGCAGTGGTGGTCCCATATCCATCCCGTGGGCGGTGGTGGAAAGGGTTACAGAGGTACATAATGGGTTCAGCAACTGAACTACACAGTTCGTTTAGCTAAGGAAGTGAATAACTTCACTCCACAGGGACAAAGGTTCACCTAATAAAGCAAGTTCCTGCTTTATTAAGCAGGAACAGTAGGGCGGGTATTTTAAAGCAGTAGCAGCGATATAATAAAGTAGTAGTAACATCAGGAGGTATATTATCTAATCTTTTGAAGCAAGTTACAACAACGGGTCTAATAAATCAGGAATAGAAGAGGATATAATGAAGCTGGAACGGAAGGAGGAATATTAAGCCAAGAACAACAGGGGATATAATACAATTTGAACAGAAGGGGGTATGTTAAAGCAGGAACAGAAGGGGGTATGTTAAAGCAGGAACAGAAGGGGGTATGTTAAAGCAGGAACAGAAGGGGGTATGTTAAAGCAGGAACAGAAGGGGGTATGTTAAAGCAGGAACAGAAGGGGGTATGTTAAAGCAGGAACAGAAGGGAATATAATGAAGCAGGAACATTAGGAGGTATAGTAAAGCAGGAACTGCAGGGGAATATTAAAGCAGAAGCTGTAATAAAGCAGGAACAGCAGTGACTATATTAAAGCAGTAGCATTAGGGGGGCATAATAAACCATGAACAGCAGGGGGTATAAAATAGCAGAAACAGCAGTGGGGATATATTTAAGCAGGAACAGCATGTGATATATTAAAGCAGAAACAGCAGGGGCTATAATATAGCAGGAACAGCATGGTACATACTAATGCAGGAACAGTAGGGGTATATTAAAACAAGAACAGCAGGGAGTATAATAAAGCAGGAACAGTAAGGCGGGTATTTTAAAACAGCAGCAGCGATATTGAAGTAGTAGCAACAGCAGGAGATATATTAATGTAACAACACGGGTTATATTAAACCAGGAACAACAGGAGGGTATGATAAAGCAGGGACAACGGGTATAACAAAACAGAGGAGTGTTCTCAAGCAGGAACCTAAGCAGGTGTATCGGAGTAGAAAATTAGCGTTGCGCAGCAAAAGAGTTTGCTGTGTTTATGAATCAACGGGCAAGGGGTGTTCCTGTGTCCGCCATACAGTATCATATACATGTCTTTCATGTATGTGTCCTCTTGTATCCGTCTAATCACGTCCGTGTTTTATCCATCCTGCCATCATGTCCATGTGTAGCGTTTGTGTGTATTTATTTGTAGCGACCCGTTCGTGTCTGACACACAGATACTAGAGCAGCGTTCGTGAGTTGTGTCTGTGCCGTAGTGAATGTTTGGTGGCTACCTACCCTCACTCCAGCAGTACCAATGTTGTCATGAGTGTAATTGTAGCAGCAGGGGTGGTTATAGTGTATGTGTTATTGTAGCACCAGTTGTAGATATGTGGTTGTAGCAAGTACATAGTCTAGTAAGAACAACGGTGGTGGGGGACGTAGATATAATGTCGCAGCAACAGCAGCAAAGATGTTGATGGTGGGGAGTGTAGCCGAAGGCAAGAGTACCCCTGGTATTAGTGGTAGTGGTGAGAGTGTTGCTTTAGGTAAGAGTACCCCCCCCCCCCAACACTAGTGGTTGTAAGTCATAAACCAAGACTGTGGTACAGACTGTGGTGGATAAACCAAGACTGTGGTACAGACTGTGGTGGCGCGGGAGGAGGAGTACCTGGTGACGGCGCTGGAGACCATGCGGCAGACCTTCGAAGATCTTAAGTCCTCCAGAGAGACCATCAGGTCCTCCATGGAGCAGCTGCCTTATTCCGAGGAGGTGAGATTTCCTTTTGAAGGACAACCCTAGCATTAGAAGGCCCTTCAAAGTGCTACTTTAATGTATTGGAGATCCTCCCCTTGAGGGCTGCCCTGACGCAGCAGAAGTAGTATTGACGGGTAACAGATAACGTGGTACTTCGAAGGGCCTTCTTCAGGGCACTTCTTCTCTGGCGCAGCGCTCACCTTCAGGGCGACCTATACATTAAGCATCTTAATGGTAACTTAAGGGGAAAGACCCCTTCAGCAAGAGGTGGAGTGTCAAAAGTGCAAGCTTCAGTAACTTTCAATCCACTCATTTTGCTTTGCTTAAAATCATTTTCCTATTTAATATGCCTTTTAATTTCTATTAATATATATGTGGCATAGATTATTAATTCAAATGATATTTAATATTCACTCATACCAATAATCTAATTTGCTTCCTATTAAAATAACTCAATATTCTTTCTCTCAAGTTATTTAATTACATTAATCACTGTTCACTGTCTATAGTTAGCTCTTGCAGCAATAATATCTTCCTTTTCCAGCTTGATTTTTTTAATTTTGTAATACTGGCAGACACCACACAGACACACACACACACTGGGGGCACAGGAGACGGTCTGGGCACGCTACTCTAACATGTCTCCAGTTTACATGTGCAACTATTATGCATATTTCAGCTCTAGCCGACCAGTAAGACGTAGCTCAGTTTTGTATCCAACAGTGTTCCAAAGTGTCCTGGTACATGCCTCTTAATCTTTAGCGCTATGGGAGCATATCTTAATCTTTAGCGCTATGGGAGCATACCTCTTAATCTTTAGCGCTATGGGAGCATATCTCTTAATCTTTAGCGCTATGGGAGCATATCTTAATCTTTAGCGCTATGGGAGCATACCTCTTAATCTTTAGCGCTATGGAAGCATATCTCTTAATCTTTAACGTATTCAAGGGCCATATTTCTAAACTGCAATGTGTTTATTAAACAATGCAGAATACTCAACTTACATAAACTTAAGTCACTGGGAAATAAAATAATCAGAAGGAGCATGATCACCACATACAAAGTTCTCAAATGAAAAAACATGTCAGACATGGACATTAGTTAAAATAGGTAGTGCATGAACAACTGGGCATAGATGGAAACTAAGTACCGAAGGGAACCTCAGAGACATGAAGCTCAACTGCCCCGCAAGCACAACTACGGGAGTACAGATAGTACGCGGCACCAGCTTGGGAACCCCCATTTTAATGGACACAGAGTCTTACTAGAAAAAGGCGAGAGATATGCAACAAGAATTGTACCCGATATGAGAGGGCTAAACACTGAGGAAAAACAGTAAATACATGATAATGAATTCATGATACATAAACATAAGATTCTCTGGGATAACAAACGGAACTTAAGAGGCGCAGATGTGTCACAGGGATGTTAAAGAAGTTGTGCCATCATATAGGTTAGTACATTTAGGTGAGCACACACAAAACCTCCTTCATATTTGTTAAAATTGCTAATAACCCTTTGTGCTAATACCACCTCACCTGGGGTGAACTAACAGGCGCCGGTGTCGGTCGGGGAGGCGGAGGGTGACGCCCCAAGAGAGCGGTCAAAGTCAGCGGGATCTGTTACCTCCGTAGCCACCTCCCCGGCGGAATCTGTACCTCGCGCTCCTTTCCCTAACGGTGCTACTGCTTCTGCCCGCGCTGCCGCCTCACTCACAGATGCTTACGAGTCTCTCAGCTACCAGGACGCTCTCTCTTCGTCAGGTGCCGGTGATCCTGAACTCTCGGCTTCCGACAAGGTATACGCCACTATATTCTCAGCTCCCTTTCCCCCAAAAAAAAATTACCTTTGGATATTTGTTCCTTGCGTAGTTTTCTTTCCTCCGCTCACCCCGCACTTTGCACCAGCGGGCTCTTGCTCCTCCTCCTTATACACCACCATGTCCGGTACTCTAGCACGCCCCCATAAGTATCATATCCTCTTCACCAATACTGACAAACACTCTACATTATAACCCTTTACCCACTAGTTCTGTCTCCTCAGTAGATCAATAATCCCAAAACCACAACAACAACCAACGTAATTACAACTACTCCCACGACTACTACTACTACCACTACCACTATGACTACAATTTCCACTACTATCACAACTATAACCTTACCTACCACTACCACCGCTACCATCATCTCCCCTCCTCCACCATTATTGCAGAAAACCTGAACAAACAGGTTAGTTGCAATACCAGGTTCTTCACTTCAATGTTCTGCATGAGAATGGTGTGTGTAACTCAACACTGGATGAGTGAACACTCAGTACAGTTGTATGAGTGAACACTGCATGAGTGAACACTGCATGAGTGAACACTGTATGAGTGAACACTGCATGAGTGAACACTGCATGACAGAACACTACCCTCATTTGGAAAGAGTGTTGAAATAGGATTATTTAGTCAAGATCTGAATTATGTATATTATTTGTATATTTTCTTTAAGAATTAGTTGATTTTCATTACTTATAGTAAAACATTTTTTTTTTCTTTTGATTTAATAGCTAATGTTTATTTTTAGTTTAAGAATAAATTGGTTAATTTGTATTTATTTTATTTATTTTGCTGTAGTTTAATTTATTTTGCTTTATTTTTTTTTTGTTTTAGTTTAAGGCTCCACTTATTAATTAGATTTTTTTAATTTAGCTCATTCCTTGAGTTAAATTCCTTTAGCTTTTTTAATTTAGCTCATAGTTCTATTGAAGAAATAGTTTATTCCTTTTAATTTTGTTTATGAAATACTTCATTCTTTTTAGTTTATTTAAAAAAAAGATTATTCTTTCTTATTTTACTTGAGAAATAATTTATTCCTTTTTATTTAATTTAAGAATTGCTATACTACTTTTCATTATATTTCTTAATTTAGTAATTTTAGCTTTAGCTTTACTTAGAATGTTATTTATTTTTATTAAAAAAGATTATATTCTGGTGATATATGAGGACAAATGGGGTGAGGTCTAGCAGGGTGCAACAAAGTGTATTATGGTGTAACAAGGTGTAAGGAGGGTGAAACAGCTTAACAAGGTACAGCTGGGGATTAACACCCAGCTACTCCTTGATACACCCAGCTATACCATGTTATACACTGCTTCACCCAGCTACACCTTGCTATACTATGTTACACCCTATTGTAACTATTAACACTACTTTGCTGGGTGTAGGATAGACTGCTTTGGTGGATGTAAGATACTCTGGTGGGTGTAAGACACACTTTTACGAGAGGTGTAGGAGTGTGTAGAGCCTGACGGGTAGGGCAGGTGGAGGGTGTTGGCGGGCCTCCCCCACACTGTAGTCTGCCTCTCCCTGCAGGCGGTGAGGGCGGCAGGCCAGCAGGCCGAGGACGACGCCCAGGCGGCCTCCAGCCTCGCCGACCTACTCAAGGAGGTGCAGTCCTAAGCCTGCATTATCTTTAACCCTTATTTTGTATGGGCGTGGGCGTGCAGTTTGTCCTCTGTGAGATTCGGTATTATTCTTGGCCCTTAACCTTGCTGTGTGATGTTCGTTACACTCCTTGTGTGGTGTGGGTGTGTGAGGGTGTTGTGTCAACATGGGTTTGTTTAGTGTTGGTGCTGGCCTGCTGTGATCAGGAGAAGGGAGGGAGCAGTTGTCGGAGTGTGTTGTTGCTCTCGTTCTCTAGTGCTTTGCCGGAGTCCTGGGACACCCAGTTCTCAAGAGCAGACGAGAGGCACGCTCACATTAGTATGTGTCTTTGTGTCACATGCATGTATCTTTTGCGTCACGTACATGTATGAGTGTGTTATGTAGATGTTTCCTTCCATCACGTACATGTATCCTTGTGTCACGTCCGTGTATCCTTGCATCACGTACACTCCTGTTATTATGAAATATGTTCATACAACATGTACTTAGGTTCGTATGTTGCATAGTATATTTTTTACTTACAACTTGCTTCTATAAGATTGTGTAAAGGTTCTTGAAGATTGAATTAGTGCCTTCAAGAAGTTAACATTGCGCCTATTAAGCTGATAAGATCTTTGTTCTCAGAAAAAAAACAATTATCTTTCAGTGGGTTGAATCATGGTGACGTTCTGATCAAATCTAGATCACAATTTGTCAGGGGTAGAACCGCTCGTTAGCAGCGGGGTGAGAATACCTTCTTCCCCACGTCAGGTGGAGCGGCAGCGCAGGTCCCTGGAGCAGCCGGAGACGCAGGTGAACGAGAAGTACCTGACGGTGGAGGAGATCATCACCAGGCGGCGGCAGGAGGCCATGAGGAAGCAAGGCCTACAGCTGGTCCAAGTCCTCCGGGTACGTCGCCCAAGCCCACTCATGTCCTCCCGACCCACTCCTCTTCCTACCAACCCATTCCTCGTCCACCCAACCCATTCCCTTCCAACCACTTGGGCTGGACGGTAGAGCGACAGTCTCGCTTCATGCGGGTCAGCGTTCATTCCCCGACCGTCCAAGTGGTTGGGCACCATTCCTTTTCCCCTGGTCCCATCCCAATTCCTTATCCTGACTCCCAAGGGCTATATAGTCGTAATGGCTTGGCGCTTTCTCCTGATAGTTCCCTTCCCTTCCAAACCCATTCCCGTCCCGTCTCCCACTCCCCTTCCCACCAACCCACTCCTCGTCCACTCAACTCATTCCTCGTCCACCCAACCCACTCCTTGATCATTTACAAGACAATGTTTTGGTTGCCAACCTATTACCACAGAGTTCAATAATTTGGCCTATTTTGTGTAACACGACCGCCAAAATTGCTATTCTTTCAAGTGGAACCTCTATCTTGTAATCACGTCTCCCCTTTTCCTAATGGGTTCATTCTTTTGAAAGGAATTTGTAGAAGAGCTTAATGGGAGGCTATTCACGAACAAAAAGTATAATTATAACATCAACGGAGACATCAATGACAATAGCCAACATCTTGTGCGCCTTTCCCCAGGATGCAGAAGACGCGGGCTACGCCTCGGAGGACGTGTCCATCGCCCTGACGCACTGTGGAGACAAGAACCCATTGGAGTGGCTGCGGGAGAATTGGCGCCACATGGTGGACACGGTGTCAACGCTGGCCACCAACTACGGCCAGGAGCGACGCGTCAACGACATCGGCGCCATCACGGCGGGAGAGGCTCGGGCCGCCCTCAGGCTGCACAAGGGCAACATTTGGGCTGCCGTCACAGAGTGCGTCGAGCAGCGTCAGAACAAGGTCAGGTCAGGGCTTTGTGTCGGGTTATTGCCAGTATGAGGGGTTACGCCATGGCAATCAGTACAAGGTTAGACCAGCGTGAGGGTAGGCCGCGCAAGTTGGAGTAAGATCAGACCAGAATTAAAATGAAGTCAGGCTAGATCGCATGATACAGGAAAAGAAAATTAGTAAAATAAATAATTTATCGGAATAGTAAATGAATAATAATATTATTTTTGTTAAATTCATGCAAGTAAGTAAATGAAGTACGAAAAAGATTAAATAAATAAGGATAATAAAATCAAACCATGATTAAGATGAGCTAAGCCTCGCTACCTACCCCAATACTGTGTTTAACATTTCCTTGTTAATATTCCTTTGTTATGGTACATCCCCAGTTTAATAATATTTGAATTACATTAATTTACGAGAGAAACGAGGTGAAAACAATGAAAACAAGTATTTATTGATGAGCCTTGTATATGCCTAGGCTGTATGCTGTATGTTTGTATTTACATTAAGAATTAACCTCAATAAGCTTCTGAATTACACATCTGATTAACATATCAGTTAATAAGTGGGAACCTCCCCTATTACATGGTAATATAGCCGGACAATGTCTATTATGTTCTACATCTGGTTTAGAGTATTTTATAACTCTGTAACTGGCTGGCAGTTCGACAACATCTACGCGCGGGGTCGATTCAAAAGGGAGGCGGTGGTGAAGGCGCTGGAGAACCACGAAGGGGACGCCGACGCTGCCTTCCTCGACCTCAACAAGTCCCAGCTGCAGCCCTTCATGATGAAAATCTGGGGCGCGCTTAAGGTCAGCTTTAAAGTGTCCAGAGTTAGATTACATTTGATGCCTATATTACGTACAGTAAACTCGTCGTATGGGCGTAGTGGACAAATTACAGTCACACGTAATGGGTCCAGTAACTAGTCTCCTATTGTATTTTACTTTACCCAATTAGTCTTAATTGGCAATTGGCAAATTTTGAATATTTTGTTAATATTTCAAATAATATATTTTTATGTATACTATATATTTTTTTAATTTCTTAAATAGTAATGAAGGAATTGACCCTAAATGCCTGTGTTGGTTTTCATTAAAATAGATGATGTAATGTGGAAAAATTGTTGCAATGACAAAGTTTATAATTGGTTATTTCCACGTGAGGAGTGCGTGCACGCCCATACACAGCCTAGCTTAAGTCCAGTAACAGCAACACCAGAACAGCTCCTCATTTTGTAGGGGGGGGGGGGGGGTGGGAGGTGTCTCTTCTTACATAATGATATGATAACAAATGGTCTAACTGTGTTTGAACTTACAGTCTCAGATATATTAGTCTCCGGTGACGTTTTTATATAATACATAACTGCATACACCCATAGGCAATTTCATAACGACATAGGGATGTTTCATGAAATAATATATATATTTTTTAAGATGAACATTTCCATCTTCGGATGTGCGTTACCAATATTCGAACCACCAATACATCTTATCATTCAGAAATGAAGCTTTGGATTGTATACGTGGGCTCCCTCTCTCAGCCGTGTGTTTACATAAACCATGTCGCCCCCCCCCTGTGTCATACGGACTCCTGGTTCAACCTTGACGCCGAGCGGACGTCTGGACGCCTCCTCCGACTGGGAGCCGCTCGTTCCCGTTTGGTTTTGCGATTTTGGATATTTGATACTGCCATTTGGCATTCCTTTTCAACGGTCCGGTTTGTACGAAGCCTGGCGCACATATCGCCTTGGGTCGCGAGTGTTGATAGATTTTGTTTTCACGTGTTCTGGCTGGTTTTCCCGGCGGTGTCCGGCGCCGGCATGGCCGAGAGGTGCCGGGAGTTGGTGGGTCTTGGTGGGCTCCTGGTGTGCCCTCAGTCATGGTAGGCGGCTGGCTTCTGCTCTGCCGGAGAGCACTGGATGACGTTTGCGTTTTAGTTGGGAAGCCGAGATTTTGGTTCGCTACCCAGTGTGTTCTGTGTGGGGCGGGGGCTCCGGTGCTTGTCACCCTGAGGGACTCCTGGGACTCCCCAATCATCTGCCTGTCTGCTTTTCTTCGCCGCGAGGCATATTAGTTCCAGTGATTGGCGTCACTCGTTTCGCGATTTGGCTTGGCATTTCACCTTTCCGGGCTTCGCGATTAACCCTTCACGGGTACGCCGGGGCGCATCCGATCCCTCGATCGTCGTCGTCCCTAAATCAACAACACCGTGTCATACTTAAAAGGTAAAATTGACTCCTTGGTAAATTCGTTGACTATCTCATCGGCTTTATCGGGTATTCTAAAGCAAATATTATGTGGAATTCACACGAAATGTACTCTGACTTATAATAAAATAAAATGTCAGTTCAAGATAGGAGGAGAGACGCTTGGAGAGACGCCTTATTAAACTTTGCAGGATAATAGGTGATTTTATGGGAAGTGTCAAAGGGGGTCGAACCCATGTCACACTCGAATGGGGGTCAGGCCCCATACCATCCTCGAATGGGATCGCCCCATATTGCAGCCCCTTCACAAAAGGGATAGATGTGAAACGTGAATCCCAGAGTCCAAAGACCAGCTTTTTTTTAACACATTTAGGTACATCTGCATTTGTTCTTGTAATTTTTACAAGATTTATATTTTTTATAATTATAATTTCTCATAATTCTCTTGTACCTTTACCTGGGTTGAGACATGGACTGATAACTTTATGTTAATAAGTCACACGAACCTAAACATAACTGCCGCACATAAATGGAAATTTAGAAAATCAGGCTACGGCAAAGTTGGAATATAATTTGTCATACTATTGACCAGTTTGTGGTGTGCTTTGGAACATCATAATAGGTATAAATAGTGTATTAACCCTTCTGTAATTCAGGGTGAGACTAAGCAAGTACCGAAGACGGATCCCGTTGCTCTACCCCAGAAGGAGGTCCAAGCATCCCCGCCCCCGCCCTTACCCACGCCGGCGCCAGCCAGCGTCCCCAGACCTGCCCAAGACGATGTCTTACAACCACCTACCTTGGTGGACGCCTCCACAGACACCGGCCATGCTAACCAAGGTAATGAGGGACGCATCCACCATCTCATCTGGTTTAGAGTAGTTCCAATTGTATTTTGATCATTGCCAATTATCATGTGCCTCGAGTTCAGTGAATCTCTCACTGTTGTACCACCAGTTTAGGGGGATCTAACCACTGTTGTACCACCAGTTTAGGGGGATCTAACCACTTGTACCACCAGTTTAGGGGGATCTAACCACTTGTACCACCAGTTTAGGGGGATCTAACCACTTGTACCACCAGTTTAGGGGGATCTAACCACTTGTACCACCAGTTTAGGGGGAACTAACCACTGTTGTACCACCAGTTTAGGGGGATCTAACCACTGTTGTACCACCAGTTTAGGGGGATCTAACCACTGTTGTACCACCAGTTTAGGGGGATCTAACCACTGTTGTACCACCAGTTTAGGGGGATCTAACCACTTGTACCACCAGTTTAGGGGATCTAACCACTGTTGTACCACCAGTTTAGGGGGATCTAACCACTGTTGTACCACCAGTTAAGGGGGATCTAACTACTGTTGTACCACCAGTTTAGGGGCATCTAACCACTATTGTACCACCAGTTTAGGGGCATCTAACCACTGTTGTACCACCAGTTTAGGGGCATCTAACCACTATTGTACCACCAGTTTAGGGGCATCTAACCACTGTTGTACCACCAGTTTAGGGGGATCTAACCACTGTTGTACCACCAGTTTAGGGGGATCTTACCATTGCTGTTAACTTCAGGAATTACAAGGAGAAAATATTTACTCATAAAATTGCTCATCAGATCATAGGTAAGTCCAAATCAATTTAAGAACTATGACTCTGAAATAATTAAAGAGAAAATATATAAAATACACAGGAGAATAATTGAAAGTAACTTTATTAATAATGCAAAAATTAATCCCTAAGCTAGTGACAGCCTAACCTTAGTCATGGTAATGGACTACTAATTGTACAGGGAACTCAAGCAGACAAATACCTTTATACTGCTTCTAAGGAGGTGTTTGTGGCCTCCTGGTTGATCACCACCCCCCTCTCAGCATCCCCAAGATCACCCACCCCCAAGATAACCCACCCCCTCCCACCACCCCCAAGATCACACTGACTATACTTTTGTTTTGAATGCCTCAAGGTGGAGTCCTGACTCCTCCAATTTCAAGCTTTTCGGCTCTAGAAAACTCCGCCCTCTCTAGGCCAATACCCAATCAATTTGAACAAGGCATAGGCCCTGGCACTCTCAGCCAACGAGGACGTACTAAGTCCAAGAGGCCGGTTTTTTCACGAAAACTGGGATAAACTGACTTATGGCTCAACCGATCTGAGCGGAGAGGGAAGAGTGCAAATGGCACCAATAATTGTGATGGACAGGGCATGTAGGGAAGGGAAGGAGAAGAGGGAAGGGGAGAGAAGGCGGGAAGGAAGAAGAGAGAGAGAGAAAGAGAGAGAAGAGGCGAGAGAAGGGCCTACTATGTTTCACCAATACAGAGATCTAACCACTGTTGTACCACCAGTTTAGGGGGGGGGGCTCTAACCACTATTATACCACCATTTTACTCATGTTTCTTGCATCATGAACATTGTGACTCTTCATACATGTGTATATCATTATATGATTTTGAATTTATGTATATTCCCATGTTTTATTGTATATCTTCACATGAAGAGGTGTTTCATATCATGAAAACGATAAATTAATTAATTTTTAAAAGTTTTTAACTACCGTGTTTGTCAGCGAGTAGGACGCATGCTTTGGTGCACCTCTGAACCCAGGCTGGTGTATTGACATGTACAAAGTCATGTTTCTTCCTCTACATAACCATTTGGAGATTACTTAAAAGAATATGATGAAATGCACTACTTGTTTTCCCATAAATTATTCTTGTAAATTATGTATGTCTTATATGTCAGCAAATGCGGTAATTTCACTTTTAAACTAATTGGACTGGATAAGTCGCTCCAGCTATATTCCCTCGCGTTTCAAAGGCCCCATAGGGGCCAGATTCACGAAGCAGTTACGCAAGCACTTACGAATCTGTACATCTTTTCTCAATCTTTGGCGGCTTTGGTTACAATTATTAAACGGTTATAATGAGCTGCGAAGCACCAGGAGGCTGTTTATAACAATAACAACAGTTGATTGGGAAGTTTCCATGCTTGTAAACTGTTTAATAAATGTAACCAAAGCCGTCAAAGATTGAGGAAAGATGTACACGTTCGTAAGTACTTGCGTAACTACTTTGTGAATCTGGGGACAGATTCACTACGCAGTTACGCCAGTACTTACGAACGTGTACATCTTTCTTCAATCTTTGACGGCTTTGGTTACATTTATTAAACAGTTTACAAGCATGGAAACTTCCCAATCAACTGTTGTTATTGATATAAACAGCCTCCTGGTGCTTCGCAGCTTATTAACTGTTAAATAATTGTAAACAAAGCCGCCAAAGATTGAGAAAAGATGGACAGGTTCGTAAGTGCTTGCGTAACTGCTTCGTGAATCTGGCCCCTGGTCCCATGGAGGTACTAGATCCACCTCCTCGCCTCCCTGCTCACACAGCAGCCGTCTCTAACACTATTTGCAACACAATTCATTTAGCTGGATTCACGTCAATAGAGCGCACTGGTGACTGCAGTCGGTTCACAGCCGGATGGGCCCGGGTTCGATCCCTGCAGCAGGAATGAAACATTTAGGCATGTTTCCTCTGACCTGATGCCTCCTCTGTTCATCTAGCACTAAGCAGGTATACCCAGGAATTAGGCAACTGATGTGGTTCCAGGAATTAGGCAACTGTTGTGGTTTGCATCCTGGGAAAGGTCAGTAGTTGGCCCCAGGGGGACCTCGATAAGACTAATAGGCTTCCTGTCGCCGACAATTAGAAAACCAAATCAAAGAAATTATCTCCATCATACTCCCAAACAACAGATTTCGAAGAAGAGGAGGAGGAGGAGATAGATGAAGAGGAAGAAGAGGAGGAGGAGGAAGAAGAGGAGGAGGAAGAAGAGGAGAAGGAGGAGGAAGAAGAGACAGACGATGAAGATGACGTCTTTGAGAACACGTACGCCAACATCGACCACGTTAAGGAAGAACCTCCGAGAGAACAACAGATCTACACTAACGTCCAAAAGGTAGCAAGAGCTAAAGCTAAAGAAGCTGTTAATCGGAAATTCAAAATGGTGGGTAGACGAGATGAGCGAGCACAACTTAGAAGACCCCTGACCCCTAGCGGGGTAAATCAGAGTGCCTTGGACGATGATGAACTCTTTTCCGCCAGCGAGGTGACGGGCCTGGAGTCAGACGAGGGTAGGAGAGATGCACGCTAGCAACCCTCGCTCACATTAACTACCACTGCTAACATTAGTTACCCTTGCTCACATTAGCGAACACCTCGTGTAGCACTTACATGTGTTATTTGCACTGAAAGCTTATATGGGACTTTTCTCACATTCATAATCTCAGCCGGACTGGGACGCATTGAACTTTTTTTTGTTGTAGCTTATTTAGTAAGAGCACCTTTATCCAGGCGGCTATTCGAAGGTTTTCAAGTAATGTTTGAGATACACGTACGCACTTGAGGAGATGCTGAGACTGGCAAGTGCACAGCAGGAAGAGTCAGCTCTTCACAGAGTATGAGAATCGCTCATCATGTGAGGGGTTTCCTACTAGTCCTGCTGCCTTTAACACTCGGGGATGCTGTTAGGACACACATCCTGAGTGAGGAGGAAAGAAGTAATGTAGTTAGCGTGTAGGAGACTAGTGACAGGCTGCTTGTTGCCAGTTATGAGTAGATAGTATTTTGCAAATATTTTAATAGTGCTAGCATGAAGGATGCATGTCGTTATGGGTCATAGGAAGAAACTCATACACAAGGAACTGTGACTGAGAGCCTCCGCGGCACGTCTAGCAAGGTAGCCTTGTTCCACGTCAGGTAACAGTTTATTGTGTAAACAAGAGACTTAATTGTCACAACGTTGCAACAAGTGTGTTTATTGCCTAAATCACGACCAATTTATTTTTGCTTGCCACAAGAAACAATCACATGTGCTCTATTTTTCACTAGATACTAAGACACAGAGCCGCTTCATTGTTCCCAAATCGAACAGCTAGAGTCTGGCCTCCGTTCTCTGCGTTCTGGTGCCACTAATGCCTTATTATAGCTCATAACAAACTATTTACAGCAAAACCCAAAATGATAAACATTTATTACTAATGCAGTATTGTTGAAATAAAAACAGTTTTGTGAGTCAAGAGCAGCAGCAGCAGCAGTAGAGTATAGTGTGAGGCAGAGCAGTGTGTGACGGTCGTCTTCTTCCCCATAGAGTCGACCATAGAGGAGCTGCTGGCGGACATAGGCAGTCCATCATACTACGAGTATTTCACAGCCGTCGGTAATGGCGGCGGTGACGTTGGTGTGGCTTGGTTTGTCTTGACCCGCACAGCTTAGCTTGGCTCACAGCTTGATACGCATATGACGCTTACTGTAAGGTACCTTTAGAACACCGTGGGGGTGTTCCCCCATGGTGTTTGTTCTAAACACTTGGGAGGTTCAATCCCACAAGTGCTTAGAACACTTGGTGACTAAACTAGATTTGGCTTGTGGGTTGTCTTTCACTAAATAAATGCTTAAGCTTGATGTTCCAGTAGAATGCGTTGATTCCCAATAGAGTTTAGTGTTTACTGACGCGTGGGTTGTCCCTCTTATGTTCACACCAAGATGGGATATTTCTGTTGACCAGACCACACACTAGAAATTGAAGGGACGACGACGTTTCGGTCCGTCCTGGACCATTCTCAAGTCGATTGTCGACTTGAGAATGGTCCAGGACGGACCGAAACGTCGTCGTCCCTTCAATTTCTAGTGTGTGGTCTGGTCAACATACTTCAGCCACGTTATTGTGACTCATCGCCTGCATATGGGATATTTCTATCCTGTCGAGGAAACGACGAGGATCACCTGTAATGACGACGGCTCTAGTGGCTGGCCTCTGAACCTGCAGATGTGTGTGTGTGAGTTTGGTGTACGTTAAGGAAGAGAGTGACCCCCAAGACTGACCCCGTAGGTAGTGAAGTGGAGTGAACTGACCACCACACCACCAGCACGACTACGACTGGCGGGCTGGTGTGTGCATAAGGCAACCCCCCAAGCCTCTGAACCTTACGGGCTATTCATGCCCGTGCTACCTCTTGGGGTGGCTTAATCTTCATCAATCACCTCTCAACCGGACGAGTGTCTATTAACCAACCTCCTCACATGTTACTTTACATGTAACATGTATTCTAGGTGGAATATATTTAGCACACATTGGATATTAATTTTGTATTTTGACTGGAATTATAGTATGCTGTACAGTATACTATTTTGCCCTGATGTAATCAATAATACGGATTCTGAACGACACGAACGAACATTTTGACCTTACCTGGGGACGTGAGAGCACCACTCGGACTTTTAATGCAAAATAGCCAATGAAAATCGCGTATGGTAATTATACCGAGTCTAATGCGCTCGCTTATCCTCAGTTATGGTATAAAATAGTGCATGGATCAGAGTTCTGTTTTATGGGCTATTCATGCCCGTGTCACCTCTTGGGTGGCTTAATCTTTATCACTCAATCAGAGTTCTGTTACAGCTCCTCGGAAACTGAAACTTATGTTCTCACAGTTCACTCACAGAACTTTCTCACAGAAACTCACAGTTCAACCAGTCCCTCTGTGCTGTAAGCTTAACACTCAGCAGCTTAAAGCGGTGTTATCAAGTGTCTGACTTTGATTATTTTCACCAAATAATGTTTGAAGGGATAACACATCCTGCTGAAGACTGCTGAAGGCAGCTTGAGCAGTCGACATCATGTGTGTGTGTGTCATCAACAGTGTTTGTTATAGGTAGTCAATTGGTAAGAATCAGCGCCTCTTACTGCCTTGTATGTTCACAGCAGTCAAGGATCTTAAAAACTGTTCGTCCTGTGTCGTCAGCTTACACCACTACCAAGACTGCGTCGTAAGTTTACAAAACTGCGTCGTAAGTTTACAACACTATCAAGACAGTGTGGTAAGCTTACAACGCTACGAACACTGGCTGTGTTGTAATCCTACGACCCATAGAGGCCTCAAATAGCGACGGTACAAGCTTATAACCCTGGCGAGGGTTATATCCTTCAGCCAGCCGACACACACAGACAGACACAAGATGCCTACACGTAATATCCGCGTGACAGGAGGTTACTTACAGAGCTGGATGAGATGGAGAACTCGGAGGAGGTTGAGAGCGAGATGGAGGACTTGGAGGAGGTTGAGAGCGAGATGGAGGACCTTGAAGGTGAAAGTGATGGAGGCAGCGAGAGGGAGCAGGCCGCGCAGGAGCCCCGTGGTAGGCCTGGTTCAACTCTGCTCTTCAGCATGATCTGCTTCGCGTCTTAATCATTAATTTCTTAAAACAAGAAACACGTCCGTGTTTCTTGCTGCACGTCCGCTGCACGTCCGCTCACTTCGCTAGAAATTCTCGGGTTTAGCGACAGTGTTATTCACCTTACTCAACGTAGTAAATTTCTACCAGCCAAACTTGCTGGATACTCACTTGACTAGATATATATACTCACCGGAATGCTTATATACTCATCATACTAGCAACGTACTCACTAAACTAGCTACTCAGCAAAAAAGGTAAATGATCACTTGAGTAGCTGAATACTCGCCAGATACGAGTAACTAATGGTCACTGGACTCTACACATCACCGTTAATGCCTCAACGACACACCACCGTTAATACCTCAACGACACACCACCGTTAATACCTCAACAACACATCACCGTTAATGCCTCAACGACACACCACCGTTAATACCTCAACGACACACCACCGTTAATACCTCAACAACACATCACCGTTAATACCTCAACGACACACCACCGTTAATACCTCAACGACACACCACCGTTAATACCTCAACAACACACCACCGTTAACACCTGAACTCACTAAACTCGTTACTTGTTCACCAGATACGTTATGTACTCACCAGTCGAACGAAATGTTTAACAGATTCATGAACTACTCACCAGATACGCTAGATGCTCCCTCGGCTCACCAAATACTCACAAACCTGGCTATGATCACCCACCAGACTCACCATATACTCATCAACTGTGTTGAATATATAACCACCAGATTCCCTGGATATTCATCGCTTTCACCAGATACTCACCAAGTTTGTCACTCACCAATCTCGCCAGACCTTCCCGCCAAAAGTTAGACACGTTAATTATATAATACAGTAACTTAATAAATGTACACTTATTTTTTAGCATTGTTTCAAATGGAAGCTTTAGTTATTCCTATGTTAATATCTGCATTAGCACCAATATTTTGTGTGTTACGGTACGAGAGAATGTGTCATATGTACACGAAATTGCTTCTAGGTAATATAATGCGGTGACGATGAAGGTACGAGAGATTAAGTAGATATTAAGTCATGTCGAAGACGTTTACGGCAGAATGTGGCTCCTTCGTGTCAACAGGAAAGGAATATTTTCTCTTGATTCCTGAATTTCTTCACCAATTTAGTGTCGTCTTCTTCCAGATGCTTATTTCAGCCTTGGCCTTTCCCTTCTTCTCCTGTTGCTCTCTTCACTGACTTGCTTTTTTGACCGTTTCCTTGGTGTGTTCCCGGCGGCGGGGCTGGCAGCCGGTGGGACGTGGACCCCGGGGCGCGCGACCCGCCATCAGCTGCACCAGCTCTCCGACTCCGCCTCAGGTGTGCTAGTGTTGCTATATCCCCCCCCCCCCTCACACACACTCACCCGGCGTGCCTCAACCCTCCCACTGACAAGACCTTGTACCTCATCTGCCTCTTCCACTTTCCTCCTTCCTCTCCCTCACACTCTTAAGCCCATCTGCCCTCCCACCCACGCTTCACTGGTCCTAGCAACCTGTCCTCTTAAAAATAACGTCGCTTTTGGCCGTTTACCAGTATAGCCGAAAGTGGACGTAATTTGAAAATAAAAAAAAATGAAAATAAATTTGGGATTTTTTTTCAACAACAGTAAGTTAAGGGTCCTCTGAAAGGTTAGGTGGGGCAGGAAATTCATTTAAAGTTTCAAAACGTTATGAAAAACGTTGATTGAAAGTTACCTCTTCTAACCTTGCCGAGTAAGCCGGACGACTCAAACAGAAAACGGGACGGTACGTGTCTCTTTTGTGAGTCGATTTCATTTCAAATTACGTCAAAATTTAGCCATAGCGCGCATACGGGCCAAAAGTGACGTTATTTTTAAGAGGACGGGTTGCTTTTCTAACACGGAATTTCGTTTTATGACGATTTACTTTTTCGTTTTATGACGAGTTACTTTTTCGTTATTTTAATTGATTTGCGGGAACGTGCGTCGAGTTTTATTAACACGTAATACACTGCTTGTAAGTCTACAGTTCAAGCGCCCTTCTAATATCAGTCAGCCTGGTAAAGGACTCGAGGCAATATGTTTTTACACATGTGGAGACGGCACCCAGGAGCTGAGACAAGGCCTGTCTCTCACCATAATGGCGACATCCCTCTCTGCTCCCTGTTAATGAACCTGCAAGGCTGGAGGCAGGTGTGTGGAGGCGGGTATGTGGTGGCGGGTATGTGGTGGCAGGTGTGTGGTGGCACTGCCAGTGTTGTACCAGTAACCATGCTACTATTGACACTACGACAGGTGCCATAAAGAGTATACAAGTAGCGGGTGAAGCCGTAACCTCCGATAAAGCCTAAATATGTAACTTTGGACATTTAGTATGTATCTTTTCCTAGCAGACAGGATATAGAGATTACCACCAAGTGTGCGCCTGGCTGTACCTGCTACTTGTTCTGGTGTTATGGTAGCCGCTCAGGTGGAATCTGATGTGTACTGGTTGACATCGTGAACCCCGAGTTGATGGTGTTGTTCTTTCTGTGCAGGAGAATCCCTGGAGGACAGAGAAGAGGAAGAGGAGGGGGAGGGGGAAGAGGAGGAAGTGGAAGAGGTGGAAGAGGTAGAAGCGACGGGAAATCTTCAAGAGACGCAGCCTCTGCAGTTCGTGAGGAAGGAAGGTAAGTGGGAGGTGGTCCCTGCTACCGTGAATGTCTCCTGCCCTTATACCTTGACAGGGTAGCCCCTCATATCTTGACAGGGGTAGCCCCTCATACCTTGACAGGGTAGCCCCTCATATCTTGACAGGGGTAGCCCCTCATACCTTGACAGGGTAGCTCCCTCATACCTTGACAGGGTAGCCCCTCATACCTTGACAGGGTGGTCCTTATATCATGACAGGGTAGCCCCTCATACCTTGACAGGGTAGCCCCTCATACCTTGACAGGGTAGTTCTTATACCTTGACACGGTAGCCCCTTATACCTTGACAGGGTAGCCCCTCATACCTTGACAGGGTAGCCCCTCATACCTTGACACGGTAGCCCCTTATACCTTGACAGGGTAGCTCATACCTTGACAGGGTAGCCAGGAGACGCGTATGAGGCCCCTGCCTTGCTTACTCATTGTCGCTTCCCTCTTTGCACAAGACAAGTTAGACATTTCCTTCCGAGTACAACAACTTAAACTCTCGTACGGAGTTTAAATTATTGTACCTGAAAGATGACTGGCCACCTTAGAAGTGTGTGGCTTGTCCCTGGCGCTACGGTGAGGTCACTGTTACCGTGACACCCACCCACACTGCTGTCACGGTAACTGTGCCCTGGTGCTATACAAGGTCACCGTCCAGCCCGTCCTCTCGAGTTGTCACAACGTCACAAAAATGATGTACTAAAATGCTCGAACCCAATCTAACCTAACCTACCCTAGGACCCATAAAAATAGAAAACGTAGCAGCCCGGTAATTTAGCAAGTCGCTATGACTGACGTCATAGCAACGTCAAAATCCCCATTTTGACGTTGGGGATTTGTACGTCAAAATACGATGCATTATTCGAGAGGACAGGGTGCCGTCACCGTGACACCCATCAACACTATAGTGTCACGGTAACAGCATCCTAGTGCTTCACGAGGTCACCGTTACTACTGCACCCTCCCACACTAATGTTATGGTAACAGGGTCCTGGCCCCATGTAAATATATGAAACTAAATCCTTTCATTAAACAAAAGTTTTCACCTACTGCCAAACTTTCTATTGTAGCTTTAAACAAGTGAATACTCTAAAACACTTTCTGTGACTGCAGTCTAATATCTCGGTGAGAGCATGCATACTTTAGTGTGTCTGAGACACCTCAAGCTCGACAAGTGTGAAGTTATGGAGGTTTGGAGTGCCTTTTCTTAATATTGCCTTCTTAAATATACTTTCCATTAACTAACAGATGTTCGGGATAGTCCCTGCAGTATTCTTTTCCTCCGTCGGCACTGAAGATACTTTTTTTTTTGTATATTGATCATTTACGATTTTTTTTTATTAGTTTGGAGTTTCAGATATAAAAAGATCACTACCGACGTAGTTAGAGTGGAGGTAATATTGGTGTAGCGATGGTTGCTGCAGGGACGAGCTTGCTAGGGTTCCCGGGCGTGTGTACCGTAGTGAGGGGGTGGCCCACGAGGCTCCCCTGTTTTACCTGCACTAGTTCTCTCCGTCACCCAAATCTTCATACTTCACTTGACCTGGGCTGTATAATGTGTGGTCACAGCTCGAGTAGTTTGTTGTTAATGGAGGGAACGTCTGTCCCCCACAGATGTGGTGGTGCACCCTCTCAAGGCTTTCACTCACTACGCTGACCTCTCAGTCTCTGAATACTCCGAGGAGCCTCGTAGCCCAGCCCCTTCGGACTGCATGATGTCCCCCTCAGTCTGCTCGCTTGATACTAAGTCTTCCACCCGGCACACTGGGAGCCCGCCGCCCAGGGACCAGCCACCTTCGGGAAACCCACAGTTCCAGGACTTTCTCCTCTCACAAAACACTTCACCTGACGAGGCTCTCATCTCCGGAGCTTGTAGCAGCCAGTCGCCAGAACATCAAGCAAATCGGATACATAAGAAAGCCCCTAAATATTCAAGTACTCTTCATGTAAGCTTGTCAACTCAAAAAGACGTTTACGAACACAGTACGGATAGAGGTTCTGCCTCCCGGCTTCAGCCAGCTCATGATTTGTTTCCTGAGCTGTCCTCTTCAGAAGCTGACGAGGCAGCAGACACCTTGGCACCAGCAAATCGAGATAATTCCTTTCCACATTTCACACCTGCTGGTGTCCGACCTCAGAGCAAATCTGCTCCAAGCTCCGTGCGAAGCTCCTTAATCTTGGAGGAGTGTGACGAGAGCGACGAAGAGGAGTCTGTGAGCATCACTACAGGAAGACTGAGCCTCTCCCTCGATAATGCCAGCATTAACGTCAAGTCGGAGAGTATACAGACAGAGCAAGTTGTCGCCGGCGAGCACCCGCACGAGGAAGAGAGGGAACAGTTGTGTGACGAGGTTAAGGACACTACTTGTGGTGCAGAGGAAACAACAGCGGTGCAGGGTGGCGGGCGAACCCCAGGTAACTGTGGTGTTGATGGCGTCAGTCCTGTCTGGAGCTGTGGTCTGCTCCGCCCAAACACTTCCTCACCTCAGCCTCTCATGAACTTGTGCATATTGCATGCTCTTGCTAATCTTTCGTGTTGTTATTTTCTGAGCTTATTTACTTTTCTACTTCATTAGCAATTTTTTACTTCCATAAACTTAAGATATCCTGCTGTGTGGTCTATATCATGTGATTGGTTGGTTGGAATGATGCAGACCAAGCCACTTGTGTAACTACAGAACCTGTGGAGGAACCTGCGGAAGCTGCAGAAGCTGACCCAGCAAGGGTGCGGGATTCTGTGCTGCTGCTGCCGCTGGACGAGCCTGGGATGGCTCAGACACGCACTGGTCCCGTCACCGTCCAGAAAGCCTCCGTCATAGTTGGGAAAGCCATCGCTAAGGCCATGGCCAGGGAGACATCAGCGCGGGAGTCTCTCAGTAGGTCGGTGACACCCGAAGTGCAGGAGGCTCCCATCGCCACACCAGAAGCTTCTGAGGGCGAGGAAGAGATAACCGTCCCAGGTAGGTCGATAGTTCTTTTTCTTGCCGCAGTACGAGTAACTTAACTACCTGGACCTTCACACCGTTATGTAGACGGTGGGTAGAATCCCGCAGGTGCCAAGAGGTAGTCACGGCACTCAACAACCCTGATTATCTTTACTTGTGTAAAAGTAAACTTAACTTGTATATATTTTTGTAAACAACCAACAGTTATCTATATTTTTTTACATTAAACTTTTGAATTTGTCCTGTAATACTAAAATGATTATAACGTTTTTGAAACTATTTTGGTAGTTAAGGCGGTAAGTGCCGCTGGTATATATATTACTATATGACGCAGGTTCCTCATATAGTTTTTACCCGGCCACGGTAACACTAGCGGGGTAGGAGATGGTGGGTTATTATTATAATAATATTATTATGAGCTGTAAGTGTGATTATTTTCAAAATAACACGAAAATCGATTTTGGAAAAGCTAAATCTGTGTGTGTTGCTCCGTGAACACAGTGTTAAGAGTGTTGGGTCCGTACTCCCCAAGACGGACCCAAATGGTAAAAAGTTCTTGTTGTTTTAGATTCAGCCACTAGAACAAAATTTCCATGTAGTACGGGCTATGGTCAGCCCGTAAGTGGAGGCTCTTTGGAGCCATTACCAGTATCAATAGCTGATACTGGAGATGTGGAGATTTGTTACCTTTACAAATACAGCAATGTGAGAAGGGATTTATATTTTCTAAATATACAATTTTTGTCCGCTAGGGACGACGTCGGACTCTGACGAAGAAGACCACTTGCGCACCTTGGACACCATCCTGGAGGAAGGTAATGGTTCCCTTCCCCTTCCCCCTTCCCCTCCCCCTTCCCCTCCCCCTCTCCCCTCCCCCTCTCCCCTCCCCCTCTCCCCTCCCCTCCCCTCCCCTCCCCTCCCCTCCCCTCCCTTCCCCTTCCCCTCCCCCTTCCTCCCCCCTCCCCCTCTCCCCTCCCCTCCCCTCCCACCCCCACTACTCCACCTCTGACCTCAACCCTCAGTTCCACCCTTGAACTCGACCCCCACCTCCACCCCTAACTTCCCTCCCCAACTCTCCCCCTCCCCCCCCCCCAACAACCTTCCCCACCTCTCACGACACATTCAGTGTTCAGTGTATTCATAGTACACTCTAATGCCTGCTGCCCCTGATACTAAGACATATCTCTCAGCCTCGCTGCTTTCGCCATCGATCAGATAACTAAACAATTAGAGAGCTTTTGTACTGCTGTTTCAAGTTAGTATCGCCATTAACGTTGACGCCGTAATAACTTGCCTCTGCCGGGATTCACACTATAAATGTATGAAATAACTTTGAGAATGATTACTGTTATAACTTTCCCTGGCCATGACATTGACAGTATAGTCTTGTTGTGGCTTTTGGTGTTTACAAGCATTGATGCTGTGTGTGTCGCCGTGACTCGTTTCAGAGGAGATCAGTGAAATGACAGAGTCTGGTCGAGTCATGTCCCGACCCGCATCGAAAAGTAAGTGGCCTCCTTCATCTTGTGTTTCCGTGTCGTGACCCCATGTTGTGTTGGACCGCGTTAGAAAAGGTGTTTCTCTTGTGCCTCGAATTCACCTGTGGTGACTGGCACCATGTTGTCGCCTCCTCTTCCCCCCCCCCCATCCCCCCCTCCCTCTGTGCGTAGCAGTGTTCTCAGGTAGTTAGTTCTGCAATTGCGTAGCCGAATTGTCTCCTCACATTTGGCATTTTTAAAATGTTCGTCTGTTATGTGTTGCGTGGCGGCATTTGTCACGGTATATGTTTGTATATTTGTACGTATCTTAACTGTTGAATGTTTATAAAAGTGTACAGTTCGTTGTTTGTATTTTAAGGTCAATATGTAATACTTGTTTTAAGAATTTTTTGATGAAGTTTTTATTGAGAATGTTGTTTAAAAAGGAAGAAAATGTTAAATGAGAGAGAATGGTAGTTATGGAGACAGTCTCCAGCACCACTGCTTTAGCCACTTCATACTTGTAACAGCTTCCAGCACTCACAGCTTAATCTAATATTTTCTTTATTCTTATCCTCAATTTCTGTTCGTTATTTAGGTACATCTATCCTCGCTCTGGCTATGCATGCTTTTTTCTAGATCTGTTTCTTCCGTTCAACCCTACGGACGTGGTGCAGCTTTCCCCTGTGACTCGCTTCTTGAAGACTGTAACCGAGCCCAAGACCTCTACAGCCCCTAGTAACACCTCAGACAAGAAGGGCGCGAGTGTGGTAGGTACAGAAGCAGGTGCTGGAGGTGGCACGAGCCCTCCTGCCGCCCAGACGCCTCCGGTGCCCAACAGTTACTACAACACCCTACACACCTACTATAACGAGCCGGGGGCCTCTGAGCTTCCTGAGGCCCACACGGTCAAGCTGACCCCCAACGACTACGAGACCATGTACGAGATGAAGCGACAGCTGGATACTCTGCGAGACACGAGCGGCGCTACACTGGACAAGATTAACGCTCTGGTCACTGAGGCCCCGCAACCCGACCAGGAAGACAATGACGAGGAGGAAATTTATTACGAGGAAGTCACTCTGAAATCAGAGAATGATTCTTCAGACGCTACGCAGGCGTCACGGAGGCGGCGGCGGCGAAGGGCTCGTGGATCAAGTAGCACTGCAGGTGGGGTTAAGGCGAGGTGTGGTCTCCGCAGGCGGGGCTGGGTGGGGAGGGGCGGGGTGTGCTCCCTGCATGGTCCATGTTAACAGCGTGTGCACCTCAACCTCTTACGGGCTATTCATGCCCGTGCCACCTCTTGGGTGGCTTAATCTTCATCATCATCACCTCAACCTCCTCTCACATGTATTCTGTTATTATTTTAATACTTAATAACCAACAGCTGATGCGCTACTAGAAAGTTATTTAACAATTACCATGTTTTCGTGTTATTTAAAATTAATTTCCTTTTGTTATTAATACGTTTTGCTAAATTTGACTTGAGATTTCAAATAAACGCTCGCTTTTGGGTGCCTCCCAAGTGCATGGTCTTGACTTAAGTCTGGACTCGCCAGTGCATAGTTTATTATGAAGATAATAGTTACCATCAGAAGCTAATGCTCCTAGCACTAACACCAAACACTTAACTCGATGGCTTTTTGTTCAGGGACGTCCAGCAGAGCAGATGTGAGCGAGGCGTCCATTGCCAGTTCCTCTCCAGCCCAGGCATCGCCACCAACACCCACTGCACAATCACCGCCACCACCACCTGCAGCACCATTCTCACCACCACCTGCAGCACCATCACCACCACCACCTGCAGCACCACCATCACCACCACCTGCAGCACCATCACCACCTCCTTCAGCCCCATCGCCACCAGCAGCACCAACTCCTCCACCTGTACCCGTTCCGTCAGAGGCCGCATCATTGCCAACACCAGAAGAGACAGAGGAGTTGGTGACGACTGTGACCATTAAGAGAGCTCGTAAGAGGTCCAGGATATCAGACAACAGCTCCTACTCCATCATAGACTCAGGCACGCCCACACAGCTGAAGGAAGTTACAAGTAGTCCAAACCAGCATGAATCCGTAGAAAATACTTCAAATATACAGAGAAGAAGAAGAAACGTCAGGGAAGACACGAGCTCTACTGTATCCAACACACCATCTACCTCTACTTCTGCCTTTTCTACCACCACCAAGGACACCTCCCCATCTACCTCTACTCCCGCCATATCTACCACCGCAAAGGGCTCCTCGTTATCTACCTCCACTACCACCACGAGTGCAGTGTCAGCTAGAGAACACACGAAGGCTTCACTACCCGAGTCCTCCGGGGACTCTGAGGATGAGGACGGCGGAGTGAAGGTTCACAGGGTGAGCGTGGAGGATCTGCCAAAGATCCCGCATCTCTTGGTACAGGTAACTTGGCCTTAATGCTTCTCTCTCCCCCACCTCCTCCTGCATCCCTCCTCCTCCTCCACCCCTCCACCTCCCTAGCTAAGACTCTCACATCAAGGGACGATTGTACTTCGCTCAATACACACGCCACTAATTGCAATTAAGTATAAATTTTGAGCAAACTCAAATCCTTTGTCTGATAATTGAAATTTTAGTAAGCATTTAATTTCTTCAAGAATGTTAATAATGTAATTTTCAACATTTTGTCCGCAAATAATTTGTAAATTTTCAACATTTCGCAAGCGAATAATTTTGTAATTTTCAACATTTCACAACAAATAATTTTCAACATTTCATAATTGGTAATTTTCAACATTTCGCAAGTGATCGACTTAACTTTGGTCCGTTATTTGTCTGAAAGGAGCAGGATTCTACATTTTATGCATAATGTTATTGCAAGAAACGTGACCTTGCAGTATTGTTATGTAGCCTAGAATCTGAGCGTGCTGACCAGGGGCCAGATTCACGAAAGTAAATTACGAACGTGTACATCTTTTCTCAATCTTTGACGGCTTTGGTTACATTTATTAAACAGTTTACAAGCATGAAAACTTCCCATTCAATGTTGTTATTGTTATAAACAGCCCTCTGGTGCTTCGGAGCTCATTAACTGTTTAATATTTGTAAACAAAGCCGCCAAAGATTGAGAAAAGATGTACAGGTTCATAAGTGTTTGCGTAAGTGCTTTCGTGAATCTGGCCCCAGCCTCGCAGGAAATGCCAAGTTTCTCGTACGATAGCTGGTTTATGGAACTTTATTATGCTCTCACTCTTGACCGGAAAAGTAAACTAGATTAATACTTTGTCTTTACATATGTATCACTAAGGACTTGAAATATTCATGGTACATAAATTTAGTGAAAATGGCTGAGCTTTTAAAGAAAAGAATCCCTGGTTAAATATTTATACCGTATTCTTTACTGAAGGCAGAACTTGTGTTTGTTGATGATAGTTGTGTCAGTGAAAAGTCCAGCGGGTTTAGTACCATAACAGTGCCAGGGAATAGGGTGATTGGTGGCCCTCAGCGCCCTAACTCAAAGGCGCGCGCGAGGCCGGGCTTGGAAAGGCCTCCTTCGTACGATATTCCTTGGGGGTAAGTAGACAAGAATAAACTCCTGTAGGGTGTAGAGCCCAGGTAAAATATCTTGCCTGTAAACCCTTACCCTGTAGTGTTGCTCATCTCCCACCACTGTATTTTTATGTTGCTGCTATATCTTATTGATTGTCTTTACTTTTTATTATGTATCGTAACCCTTCCCCAGTATCGTAACCCATCACACGTGTATCTTAACCCTCCGCAGTATCGTAACATTCCCCCAGACCATTTATATCATTTTTAAAGTGTGAAAACAATTGATGTCATTATTTTTTGTTGAAGATACCCTAAGATATTGTTTTTTTTAAATCGTAAAGATTTTAGGTGTGATAAGCTGAATTATCTGCAATGTTTGGCATTGAATTAAAATGATGTTGTCTGTTTTATAAACTTCGTGATGCTTAGATTGTCGATGTTCGCTTAAAATAATTTGTTTTAATCTAACTTGATAACGATCTCAGTTCGAAACCGGCAAATGATGAAATGGAAGGCCTGAATAGCATTAAATTAAGAGCGTAGCGTAGTGGTAAATCTTTCGGGGCTTAGCGTCCCCGCGGCCCGGTCCTTGACCAGGCCTCCTCGTTGCTGAACTGATCAACCAGGGTGTTGGACGCGGCTGCTCGCAGCCTGACCGTGCTGGGGCCAGTGCTCTCCTTGTCGTGCAGTTTACTGAGCGTGTCTTATGTTCGCCGCAGATCGAGGGTCTAAAGGCGCGCCAGAACAAGAAAGACCCAGACTACCAGGAGATGCGCGAGCTGAAGGAACAGATCCAGATGATGAGGAGGCAGCTGGAGGCCCGCATGGAAGACGAAGACGGCAGACCTGAGACTCCAGATTCCCCGAAGGAGGAGCAGCAGCAGCAGCAGCCCAGTGGCGCCGACATCATTCTGCAGGATACACAGGAAAAGCCAGTCAGCAGGGAATATGAACAACTTCAGTTTGATGTAAGTAAGAGTGATGTTAGACGATTTAATGACGTTTAATATTCCTTTATTAACATTGTTTTGATCCACGCATTCGAGAGAAAATGCTTCAGCTCTGTTGTCTCGTTATTATACTCTCCGGGCAGGGCTCGTACTAGTGTTACTGCCTGCATCGCTTGACCCAGGACGACGACTCCAGCACCACGGTATATTCACCTCTCACTATGAGACAACAGAAACCTTTTGCAGACGAGGAGTCACAGTAACGTGGCTTGCAGGGACGACGACGTGTCGGTCCGTCCTGGACCATTCTCAAGTCGATTGTGAGAATGGCTCAAGACAATTCTCAAGACAATCGACTTGAGAATGGTCCAGGACGGACCGTAACGTCGTCGTCCCTTCACTTTCTAGTGTGTGGGTTTGGTCAACAACAGAAACCTTGTTTCCATGAAGCCTTGTGGACGTTGCCATTTCCATTCTGCTTGACCAAGAACCTCGACGTGTTACCAGTGACCTATGGCACTTGACAAAGATTTTTGACTCCTAACAGGTCTTCCTAACATCTAATAAAGGTGATTGGCTCCAAACAGTTCTTGCTAACACCTGTCAAAGCTGGTTGGCTCCTGACAGGTCTTGCTAACCAGTCCGTTCTCCTGATTTGACACTTAGTAAAAAAAAATCTAACCTCCGCAACCTAACCAGAAATGTACGAACCCAAGCAACCCGCCTAACCTACCAAGGCCGATGCATAGGATACGTAGATATTTGTGAGCGTCTCCTCTCCCTCAGAGGACGGTGCGGCGGCTGCTGGCCGAGGGACGGGCTGGGAGCTACGAGAAGGCAGAGTTGGCGGCCCAGCTGCTCACCTTCAAGTTCGGCGAGATGGACTCCCTGCAGGCGGCCGAGGAGTGCTCCTCCATCTACACCGCTATCCAGTTCCTGCAGCAGGAGTGTGAACTGTGTGCCGAGAAGTACCCTATGAGGAAGGTACTTTGTCGCGCCTCTAGCTAGTCTGTCTGTCTCTCTCTCTCTTTCTCTCTCTCTCTCTCTCGCATTTAAGCTTATCCATCTCGCCATTCGTGGTGGATGAGATTAAACGCTAATTCGAAATCAAGAATTATATTTAAATACGTAAGATTACTTGAGCTAATTGTAAGATAGATAATATTTATTGTTTGTAGATTTATACAGGAATCTATGGTAAGACATGAATACAGAGATGTGTAGGTGCTCGTAAAAAATACCTTGATAAACATCGAAATAGAAACTACGTGTATATTAGGAAGACAAATACTAAAAGGAGCTTTGGAATTATTTCAATTTAGGTGATGCAGTTAAACTATAGGAAGTGAAGTTGGTGTAGATTAATTGTAGGAATTTATGCTGTGGAGGTGGAGTTTGTAATATATTGTTGTGAGGGTGTAAGGGGTGAGGGTGTAAGGGGTGAGGGTGTAAGGGGTGAGGGTGTAAGGGGTGAGGGTGTAAGGGGTGAGGGTGTAAGTAGTGAAGGTGTAAGTGAGTGTGGTGTTGCAGATGGTGTCGATGCTGCAGTGTACTCACCGCTGCTGCTGCGACTGCGCCAAGACCTACTTCACCTTCCAGATCAAGACTAAGAACATCCGGGAGGTCCGCTGCCCCTTCTGCAACGAGCCCGACCTCGATGCCAATGAGGTTCTCTCCTTTTGTAATTGTATTAAATCGAACTTTTGTGTATAAGTGAGAAAACACTAGATAAGACGAAGGTTTGATTTTATAATGCGACTACTTTTTTTAATGTCACATATGTATTACTTGCCTTTTGTCACCTGCCCGAGAGATGAGAAACGTCAGTCAGCTTTTCGGGTAATGAGAAATGATATTAGGATGTAACAAACAATGTTATAAACGGTAGAGGACCATAATTGAGCTATGTTGGATGTGTGCAGGAGATGAATGACGAGTACCTCAACAACATGGACATACTGCTCAAGAACATCCTGGACGCCGAGACCCACGAACTCTTCCAGAGGAAACTTCGCGACTGGACGCTCATGAAAGACCCGAACTTCCGCTGGTGTAACAAGGTCAGCTCTCCCCTGCCTTAACCCCTCTCACCCCACCATCACCCCTCACCCCACCATCACCCCTCACCCCACCGTCACCCCCTCACCCCACCATCACCCCCTCACCCCACCATCACCCCCCTCACCATACCATCACCCCTAACCTTCACTATTTCCTCTCCTGAACCATCCATTCACGTCTCACCCCACTTTACCCCCCAACATTAAACATTCATTCTGATATTTTAGAGTGCTGTCACCACTGCTTCTTTTCACGACCAAAGATCACATTCACTCCAAAAAAATCTACCACTTACGAGCAATTCATGTCAGTGGCACCTCTTGGGTGGCTTAATCTTCATCAATCAATCAACCAAACTGCCTCTTATCAGCAAATAATATTAAATAAGACATGGTACTGTTGCTACTACCGCAATTATGACTGGTCGAGTACTAATAGTAGCAGTGGACACACGTACCATGTGTGGAATCCCTCTCAGGAGCCTTTTGTACCCGCCAGTGCTCGTCCGGGTTCATCTCCAACCCCCGCGCCAGGAAGCTCATCTGTCCAGACTGTGGGGAGGTCACCTGCGCCCACTGCCGCGTCACCGTGAGTTGTTGTAACCTTACTGTGATGATTTCAAATATATATATTATGTAGTGTTATGTATTATTACGTTCATTGTTATCATTCTTCTTTTGCCGGGTGTCCAGTGGGAGGGAGCACACGAGGGCATCTCCTGCGAAGCCTTCGCGCGCTGGAAGGCTGACAACGACATGGAGGTGGCGGTGCAGGGCGTGGCCAAACACTTGGCGGAGTGTGGCATCACCTGCCCCAAGTGCAAGTACGTCCCCCTTCACTCAGACTTGTATTACACACTGAGCAAACCTCATACTTTGTCGACCCCTACCTTCCTCCTACTCCACCCCCTCTCCCATCCCGTCCATTGATATACAAAGACTGCTCCAAGATTTAAGAGAATTCTGATTTGAGAATAAGCTGAGAGAATATGATCCCACAAAACTAAAACTAAAAACAATTAAAACAAAACTGAAAACAAGATCCCCATCTCACACGATAATAAGCCATAGAGTGCCATGTGATCATTAACCTACACTGGCAAACTTTATATGCAGTATGAGGGTATCTTCTAGAACACGAGAGTTCATAAAATAGCTGCAAAGTTCCAGGTACCTCATACCGCTGAGTATGACTGAGCGGTAAAGTTTCTGTGATTACAATAACATCATAACTCTCCGGCAGGTTCACGTACTCGCTGGCCAAGGGCGGGTGCATGCACTTCACGTGTACCCAGTGTAAACACGAGTTCTGCTCCGGCTGCAGCCAACCGTTCCGACAGGGCTCCAAGTAAGCACATTCTACTTTCTCTTCTTCACGAAAACACTTAAATAATCTTCTATAATATTGTAAATGGGGATAGATTGCACAGTTAGTTTGCTTGTATACCAGTCATATTGGTATTTACTATATAAATTCGTTGTAGAATGAATAGCAGTAGCTTCCATACACCCTGTATAATGAGTGACTATATCTCCCATACACTCTTTATGGGTGCATGGGAGTGGCTGTGAGTCTGCCCATACACTCTGTATAGTAATTGGATATGAATATCTCCAAGACATCCTTCATAGGAAGTATCCACAATTCGCCCTTTAGAGCTGGTATGCTTAATTCACCCTGCCAGGTGAAGGGAGCCGGTCGGCCGAGCGGACAGCACACTGGACTTGTGATCCTGTGGTCCCAGGATCGATCCTGGGCGCCGGCGAGAAACAATGGGCAGAGTTTCTTTCACCCTATGCCCCTGTTACCTAGCAGTAAAATAGGTACCTGGGAGTTAGTCAGCTGTCACGGGCTGCTTCCTGGGGGTGGAGGCCTGGTCGAGGACCGGGCCGCGGGGACACTAAAGCCCCGGAATCATCTTAAGATAACCTCAAGATAACCTGCCCCGAAAAGGGTTATGAATGTTTACCTAATCCCTTCACACTGACACTTCCCTATGGCACCATGCATACTGAGTGCCTGTGGCCATTCCACCAACATTATATATTGTCAAATATTATCTATTATGTATAATAATTACATATAGCAATTAAATGTCTACTCACATCGAGCATAATGAGTATCCTCATATACTTTATTTGTGTTTTTGCATACATTGCATGGTGGTTATGCCCCCTCCCTATTTCGGATATCATGTATAGTGAAATCCCAGTATATAGCGTGCATTATTGCTCACATACACTGTGAATGTTGAGTATGTCCATTCAACGTGTATTGTGGGGTCTCCCATATATTTTGTGTCTTCCATACACTGTGAGTAGTTCCCTGTACACTTGTCATTGTATTAAAACGCATACACTGGATATTGTGTGTCTCCTATACACTAGGTGTTATGTGTGTGCCTTATACACCATGTATAATGAGTGTCCCCCTATTCTACGTTGTTGTGTCGCCCCACCCCCACAACAGCAACGGTGTTGTTATGGGGAACCCCATACACTGTGTATAGTGAGTTACCCATAATAGCGTAATTAGGGAGCGTCCATCACACACATGTTTGTGTCAGGAGATATGTGTTGCAGGTGTTCGGTTGGTCCCTACTGCGCTCGCCTGGGTCTGCACGCTCACCACCCTAGGAACTGTCTCTTCTATCTCAGAGACAAGGAGCCCCAGCAGCTCCAGAACCTGCTCAAGGTATGCCACCCTTCCTCCTTAAAGATCCCCAGCAGCTCCAGAACCTGCCCAAGGTATGCCACAAACTCGCTCTCATTTGGATCACATTAACCAAGGAACTTTACATTTGTGGCCACACTCAAATTGATATTAACTTGTATTCAGCAACATCATTGCCTCGGTTCAACACCAGAATAACTTGAGATTATGTGCTAACATGTGATTTTGTGTAATATTTTATCCCAGATAAGCTTGACAACACCTGTAATACGTGCCGTACCCTACAAGAGGCATTTTAGCACCTGCAATACGTGTCTTACCCTACAAGAAGTTTGTTAGTGCCTAAAATTCACGTGCATCCCATTTTCATTGGGATGAAAATTCAATTCTAAGCAATTGTCATCGCTTAGAATTGATGTCTAACCCTTCAGGAGCCTTGTCAGTACCTATACCTTTCCGCTAAAGGCTTGTCAGTATCTCTAATTCCTGTACCATTCTTCAGGAGGCCGGAGTGAGCTTTGACACGGAGCCTGTGGGTGAGCAGGAGCAGCAGGGAGGCGCCCGCCCAATGTGTCAGGTGCAGGAGCAGAAAGAACTTCCCGATGGTCTGAAAGACGACATCTGTGGCAGAGTCGTCCCTACGGGATACGCTGGTCTCTGCAGGTATAGCTCTCGTAGGATGTATTGCACTTCTTGTTCTCACACAAGCATCACTCACTCTTTAAGTACATCTCTCAATATTCCATGTGTCTCTCACCCTCACACACACATCTCTCTACCTCACAAGTGTGTCTCTTACCATCAACGTACATATCTCATCCTCACAGGGGACGACTTTCACAACCAGTCGTGGGGCCTCGTAGCCTGGTGGATAGCGTGCAGGACTCGTAATTCTGTGGCGCGGGTTCGATTCCTGCACGAGGCAGAAACAAATGGGCAAAGTTTCTTTCACCCTAAATGCCCCTGTTACCTAGCAGTAAATAGGTACCTGGGAGTTAGTCAGCTGTCACGGGCTGCTTCCTGGGGGTGGAGGCCTGGTCGAGGACCGGGCCGCGGGGACACTAAAGCCCCGAAATCATCTCAAGATAACCTCAAGAAGATAACCAGAGACACTCCCTACAGAGCCTTTCAAGGGTGCTTCACAGTCTTCTCAACGTGCCACACACTTTACAACCTCCCGGCGTTAATTGTCATGCACAACCGAGCGACTGGGCGCATTACCCCATGAACTCAAGCGAGGATCAGAGACCAGTTGGGCTTTCAGTGCTTAAAGTCTTAGTAAACATTTTAACCAGTATATTAAATTGGTTTTAAAAATATTTTGCATTCATATATATTACTAAAACAAAAATGCCACTGGCTCGTTTAGAGAGTGAAGATAGAGCCACTATCCTCGTAGAGCCTCACGATTATAACAGTATTATGCTCTATATCTAGGCAGAGTTTAATTTCAAAATTCAGTATAATTATCCAGTAAAAAAAAATCGCTGTAACGCCCACAGAATTCAGAAACAAAAGTATTGTTTTTTCTCTAACAGGAAAATGCTTAAGCTTAATGTAGGAATTGTAATTAGTAGTGAAGTTCAATGTAGAATCTTGTAGGTTATATTTTATAACCTTACATTTAATTTGTTACTCAACACTTGTTATAATCCAGAACACCTTTTGTACCTATATTTATCATGGGAAGCGTTTAAGAAGAAAGGTTGAGATTGTGTCTGATATGATGAAGCATTTCTCACTTTACGGAGAGTTTATAGATCTCACAACAAACGTCGTATCGTAACGCATCACATCATTATATCATGTTGTTAATGATGACGGCTTCGTATTAGTTTCAGATTCATAACATTATCTGTACCGGAGTAAGCCACTAGAGATGACAGCACCGTAAGTCATTGGAGTTAATATCACCATAAGCCCCTAGAATTGACCGCACCGTAAGCCCCTAGAGTTGACCGCACCGTAAGCCACTAGAATTGACAGCTAAAGTTTCGCCAACCTCAGATTTCACAGTGGAGCTTAGGGAGTTATGATGGAAGTGAACATGTTGGACAAACTTAACCTCCTGTAAACAAATCCACAAGGGCCGTGACGAGGATTCGAACCTGCGTCCTCCTACACCCGATATTACACCCCTAGAACTGTTCACGGCTAACGATTTCTACCATGTTTCAGTGACTTAAATGTTTATGCCCCATTGTGCCTTGTTTAAGTAGCTCCTTAGCCAGCAGTCACAGTAGACAATGTAAGTATTTAACAAACATGTTCAGTGTATAGTGTAGATGAAGTCCAGGTTTGTGAGTGTCGTAACTGAAGTGTACACATTAAGTACATAATATTTTAAAAGTTGATACAATTCTTGTCCTGCTCAATTGTATGTTGTTATTTTATATAGAGTTTGGTTAGTATTGTTAAAGGTGCTCCAGCTAGTTGGGTTAGTACCGCAAGGCAGCTTGTCACAAGAGTTAATCCGGTGGGAGCAATAGCCAAGAGCAACGCTAATTTAACGTCATCAACGTTGATTCGATGTCGAACAAACGCCACTCTTCAATGTTGCACCCACTGAGTTGCGGGACCTGCGCCCACAGTCCTGATCCAAGTCCTTTGTAATAACTAAGTCATCTTTTAGCTGTTGTGTGAATGGTCAGTCGTCCCCCAGCACGCCTCACGCGGCCTGTGTCCACTCACACCTTTATTTATTGATTGATTGATTTATATACAAGAAGGTACATTGGGTTGTGAGAGTAAATATTATCAGTGTTCCTACATTCTTGCAAAGCCACTAACACGCCTAGCGTTTCGAGCAGAAAAGTTAAAGTTTCGATTTACAAGAGAGTGCGGTGCCACGGGTTTAGATTGCAGTGTGAGCAGTTTACAGAGTGCAATATGAGGGGTTTACTGATCAGTGTGAGGGATTTACAGAGTGCAATATGAGGAGTCAACAGAGATCGCAGTATGAGTGAAAGAGTGTAGTGCGGAGTCAACAGAATGCGCAGTATGGGGGGCTTAATGGAGAGCGCAGTGTGAGGGGTAAACAGAGCGCAGTGTGAGGGGGTTAATAGAGCGCAGTGTGTGGGGGGTCTGGTCATGATTGCAAGTCGCTTCACAGTGTGCTGGTGTGTTCCCCTCTCAGCTCCCCTCACTGCCCTAGAAGAACCGGCCCTCAAGGGTGGAATTTTGTAAAGAAGGAATATTTTGCAAATTTCATGATCGAGTCTTTTTTTTTCATTTGCTTCTCGGAATAAGCTAAAGCGATTGAACTCTAAGACCAACTTCCTTCTTTACAGAAACCACTACATTGACTATTTGGGTCTGTTGTGTTTTAAAAATAGAATAGACCCACTGCCCCTAATGGATGAGGGGGACCTGAGGTTTGTATTCCGTCGGGAGCACCTGGAGGTCCCCAAGCGGCGGCCCTGGGAGTCAGACGAGTACTTCCGCCGGAGGCTGTCAAAGGTAACACGTCCCTCTGAGTCTATTGCTTCTTGGTTGTTCTGGCACACCTTTCCGTTGTCTCACCCAGGTTACACTACACGGAATACTTAGTGGAGAAGATCAATACGCACAAGCTTGACCCTGTCAGCATCTTTGACGAGGCAGACTTGCGCGTTTGTCTCCGAAGAAATGGCAAGACCGTCCCTATCAGGCGATGGGAATCCGAGAAGTTGTACAGGGATAAGCTGATCAAGGTGTCTACCCCCTTCTCCTGCTCCTTGGCTTCCTTCTCCAACAGTCATCTGGCTTAAACATTATTGCAGCCTCTTTTCAGAGTGAAGAATTTGTGTTCTTAACTGTTATTGCTTTTTTATAATGTGAACGTGTTTACCCTTTTTCTAAATTTAAAAGCATCTGTGTTTTGTTCTATGATCTATGTTAATGTAAAGTATAAGCTGCTGACGTAACAGCAGTCTGTGTTAAACCCTTGGTTCGTCGACTTGTAGGTGAAAGTGTTCTATGAGGAAAATACTTGACCTATATAGAAACTAATCCTACAATTTTGATGCACTTGGCTGTTTGTTATAATTAATGCATATATCTAAACTCTAAAACCTTTACGTTTACAACTTTTCTTATAAGAAAAAATTGCATTTGAAGGGTTATAATATTGTTTTTCTTTTTTATTTACTAATTACTAACAATTTATTTGGATTTTTAGCCAAAGTATTATTTCTTAATCGTAGAAAAAATATTCCCAACCTTTTAATTTTATCTCTAAACCGACATAAACACAGGCAACAATGTATAGTTTTACGGGTGTGTAGTTGACATTGAGAAGACGATGATGCCAACACTGGTGGTGGATGTGACAGTGATGCCAACACTGGTGGTGGATGTGACAGTGATGCCAACACTGGTGGTGGATGTGACAGTGATGCCAACACTGGTGGTGGATGTGACAGTGATGCCAACACTGGTGGTGGATGTGACAGTGATGCCAACACTGGTGGTGGATGTGACAGTGATGCCAACACTGGTGGTGGATGTGACAGTGATGCCAACACTGGTGGTGGATGTGACAGTGATGCCAACACTGGTGGTGGATGTGACAGTGATGCCAACACTGGTGGTGGATGTGACAGTGATGCCAACACTGGCGGTGGATGTGACAGTGATGCCAACACTGGTGGTGGATGTGACAGTGATGCCAACACTGGTGGTGGATGTGACAGTGATGCCAACACTGGTGGTGGATGTGACAGTGATGCCAACACTGGCGGTGGATGTGACAGTGATGCCAACACTGGTGGTGGATGTAAGAGAGGGGAAGCATAATTATGGGTAGACATAACATTACTAGACATGACCATCAGTAGGCATAAAATGTTGGACTTGACCAGGGTTTAAAAACAATTTTTTTTCTACCACAGACGTGGCCACACATTTACATTGCTAACCAGCATATATATATACATTTTCTTATGTCCTCCATGGACAGGGTTATAGATCTGTTAAACATATAGGTCAGTGATTTATTGAACAATCAATCACAGAAGGTGATTGTAGTTCTTTTAAAATGCTAATCTAACCTACATACATAAATACACAGAAAATTAGTGGTAGACATAGCCACCAAAGGTCTAGTTTAGGTCTAGTTTACACCATCAAGGAAATCTAGCTAGAAAGATGTGTGAATACGATAAGGCATACACATTGGTAGACATGAATATGGGTAGTTAGAATTAGTGAATACAACCATAGGGAGACATAATCAACGGTAGATATTTCTATAGGTATATATATATATATTTGTATATATATATATATATATATATATATATATATATATATATATATATATATATATATATATATATATATATATATATATAAATATATATATATATATATATATATATATATATATATATATATATATATATATAATCAGAAAGAATAAAGCGGGTATAACCAGTTGTAGACATAATCAGGTACAGAATTGATAAATATAACCCGTACTACATATTCTGGAGACATAATTAGGAGGAGGCATGATGGATAAACAAAATCATGGTATTACCTGGGGTAGACATGACCAATAGTAGTCATAACCACGGGAAGACATGACTAGGGGTGTCAACAGTGACATGACTAAGGATGTCAAAAATGACATGACTAAGGATGCCAGCATTAACACACATTCATGCCTCGCATGGAAGCTACTTTTGAGACAGCATTGACTATAGCAGTCATTCTAACGAGCAAAATAATAATAGAGAAACAAAGCTTGCTTCTCTAATAGCACCTCACCACTTTCTTAAACATAGTGTGAGAAAGCTTCTTCCTCTTAGAATGCGGCCACTTCGCACTTCGACTCTCTTAAGACGCTCAAGAAATATTAATATTTAATAACTGATTTTGAATATCCAAAAAGGGGAATTCAGACAGAAACCAAAATAGTATCTCTTTCGACTGAGTGTGATCAACAGATTGCACTGTTAATATTGCTGTGTATGGATAATTTACTGCTTTTATATATATATGAACTTGAATAATTAACATGGATTGTCATCAAAGATCAGCAGCAACATTGGTAAATAAATGTTTAAATTACAAGAATTATAAACCTAGATATTTGTAGTAGCACGAGATAATTTAATATCTGAACTATCTAATTCCTTGAACCTTGCAGTTAAATCATATAATTAAATATCTAACGAAGGCAAAATAATTAATACAGTTTGAATTATGCTTACTAAATGTTTTTTTTTAAATATCGATTATATGATACATTGCTAATATTTATTATATCCAGATCCATGGAATGATATGGTAATGAATTTTTAAGTTTAAAAATTATACTGTGCTCGTAAGTGTTAATCATTATGGGGTTGTAGATATGTTTTGTGTCGGCGTCAATAGTTGTGTTGATCAGCCTTACTCACCAGTCTTTACCTCCAAGCATCACATCTGTTAACAAAAGTGTTATATATATATATATATATATATATATATATATATATATATATATATATATATATATATATATATATATATATATATATATATATATATATATATATATATATATATATATATATATATATATATATATATATATATATATATATATATATATATATTATGGAGGAAGACTGTTCTGACTGAGGCCGAAATACTTACATACTACAAATGTTTCTATGTCAAGATTTTGTTTATGCAATAGGTTGTGTTTTAGCACTAAGAAACTGCATGAAAGAGGCTCAGAAAGCAGGCCACATTAGTCATTTATGTCACGCTCTTTATTTTTGGAGAGGAAGGGAAGTGGGGAAGTATGAAATAATGAACTCTTAAATAATTTATATTTAAAAAATCCAAAAGGGAATAAAACATTGAAAGTTATGTCGTTGCAGTTGATTAAGGAGCATCTACCCCTGGGGAACCTGGACTAGTAGTCTAGTGGGCTCCGTCGCGAGGAGAACACCCAGGGCGTGAAGATATGTCTGTGAGGTCTTGGGAGTCTGTTCAGCATACGGCTGTCGACACCTCAACCTTCACTGCAACCCCCCTCCACCTCCGCACTCAACACACGAACCAAGCTCTTCTGTCAAGCATTTCCACCAAGTACTTCCTCGACAGTTTCACCCAGCAGTTCCTCCTAGGTGCTCAACGCAGCTGCTCCACCCAGATGCTTCACCCTGATGCTTCACCCAGCTGCTTTACCCACCTGCTCCACCCAGCTACTCCACCCAGCTGCTCCACCCAACTACTCCACCCAGCTACTCCACCCAGCTACTCCACCCAGCTACTTCACCCAGCTGCTCCACCCAGCTGCTCCACCCAGCTGCTTCACCCAGCTGCTCCACCCAGCTGCTCCACCCAGCTGCTCCACCCAGCTACTCCACCCAGCTGCTTCACTCAGCAGCTCGACCCAGCTACTCCACCCAGCTGCTCCACCCAGCTACTCCACCCAGCTGCTCCAGTAGCTACTCCACCCAGCTGCTCCACCCAGCTGCTCCACCCAGCTGCTTCACCCAGCTGCTTCACCCAGCTGTTCCACCCAGCAGCTACAGCCAGCAATACCGACCACCGTCTCCATGTGATCCAGCAACCCTCATCATTTAAAACATTTCCGTTATTAAATCAACTCTGATATCATATCTTTGCTAATATTCCCAAAACGTATATTTATCTGTACTGTAATTAATTATGGAACAATTAATTATCATTGTGATGGATATGCTAAAGGTATAAGATTGTAATTTTCGAAAATATACTGTTGTATACTCATGTTGATAACCTCTTAGTGTAAACAGTTTCTGAAGTGTATACTGCTTTGTAATAATTATGCCAATACGAGGCTATAACACACGTGTAATAATGATGTTAAATATGAGAGTAAGAGAAATATCGTAATGTGAAGCCATGTTCAGTATTTAAACAAGGAAAGAGTAATAGTTTGTTTTCTAATTGACAGGGTAAGAGATCTGTTAAACATATAGTTCAGGGATATATTGGCAAGGCCGATCATTGTCAACCGGGGCCTCTCTAGGGTGCAACACATTATAAGAAACACTAGAGCCTCAAGTGTGTGTGTCTTTATAATGAGCGTTAGAGGCATGAGTGTAGCCATGTCGTAAGCCATAACACCTCCGCCCCTCCTCCATCACTCGCCAGGAGTCGTCATCCCGGGGTATCACATCTGGGATCAGGTGGGCGTCCAGGTGTCTGTTATGTTGTGGGGGAAAAATACTGCATTGTACTGTGTTGTCAACTGGTAGGGTGAGGTCCCTAGCTCCTCTGTTTCACCCCTAGCGGTAATGCTGTGGGAAAAATCACCTTGATTTGCCTTCAAGGTGAAAATCACTTGCCTTCCTGTAGTGTCAGGCTTCCATACCACGCAAGGGAAGGAAACTATCAGGAGAAAGTGCCAAGCCATTACGACTAAATAGCACTGGGAAGGGGTCAGGATAAGGATTTGGGATGGGACGGGGGGGGGGAAGGAATAGTGCCCAAGCATTTGGACTGTCGGGATTGAACGCCGACCTGCATGAGGGGGGGATCAGTTAGTTTTTTAAAAGTTGTTCAATGTCAACCAATATTTTTTGACTAGTTTTATATGAAAAGGGCTGCAATTATTCAAAGTTTCAGTACTGCAGCCTAAATAGAAAGAGAGATTTTTTTTAACGAATATTACACATTTTCAAATGTTTATAAACAACCACATCTTTCAGATATAATCATTCTATGACACTTTTCTGTCACATTAGCATATAATAAATGATCTGTAGGAAGGGATTTTCCAAAAAAATTTTACTTTTCCTAATGCAAATAGTCAAAGTTCCCCCCCCCAAATTATGCAAATACATCATGTGTATTGCTATTATAAAATCAATAAATGAACTTAGGAAGCAAAGCTTGTGCTAGATTTTAGAGACATGCACTCTACATATAAGGTGTAAGTTTCATGTAAATTGAATAAAAAATGAAAGAGTTATAAGAATTTTTATGTTACTTGAAATAAATAAGTAAAAAAAAAAAGTCTAAGGTGCTGCCATCTGTGGCTGAGGTTGACATCAACCAATTTCCTGGCCCCCTTGACATCCTTACAGATAGACTTACGTGCAGTCAGGTGTATAAGTTTCATGCAAATCGTCCGATAAACAAATAAGAAAAATAAAATTTAAAAAAGAAAAAACAAAAAAATCATTTTTTTTTAATAAAACTAATTATATATATTATTTTAATATATGCTATTGTGATAGCTGAGAGTCATAGACATGATTTCAGTTGACACAAGTGTTTGATAATCGTTTTTGACCATTTTGGAAAAATTTTGACACATAATTCAATATTTTTTTCCTCCCTTCCTATTTATGCTACGATGCTGAGACTTGGACCAGATGAAACCCTTTTCATTTACCACACGTCAAAAAAGTTTGATTGAAATCGAACCAGTTTTCATTTTTGGCATATTTGAATCTAAAGCCCCACCTGAAGCGAGAACGTCGCTCTACTGCCTAGCCCAAGTGGTTGGGCTCCATTTCAAGTTCAATTATGTTTATTGAGATTAGAAAGAAATACATCTCAAAGGGATAGAGTAGCTTAGGCTATTTCTACCCCCCCCCCCCCCCTCCCTTACCACGGAGGGGAAGCGTGACCTCTGAGGTCGTAGGCGCCTTGAAAGCCACACACACACGCATTATATTATATAGTGAAAGGTAAAGTAATCATGAGACAGAGCTAAGCCAATACGACTATATAGCACTTGGAAAGGAATATGAGGACAAGGATCTTGGACAGGGCGAAGGGAAGGGATGGTTCCCAACCACTTGGACGGTCGGGAGTTCAACACCGACCTGCAGGAAGTGAGACTCGCTCTACCGTCCAGGGGCCAGTTTCACGAAGCAGTTACGCAAGCACTAACGAACCTGTACATCTTTCCTCAATCTTTGGTGGCTCTGTTGCAAGCACGTACTTGCATAACTTTCGTGAATTTAGCCCCAGTCCTAGTGGTCGTATGGTGACAATATTGTTGCCAATGTCTTCACCGCGCGGTTAACCTGTCCACAGCAATTTTAACGTTATTCGCTACGAATTGATACATCATTAACATCACATCCAGTCACTTTGTATTTAACATAATACGCATTGTGACTGTATCGTCACATGGTGTTGTCTCTCTACGGTGTATTTTACTACAAAATACAGCGATCAACACGTCAGCGCTGTAGATGCTAAGAACGTATTCTATTTCTCATTCTGTTTTCATTTATATTATCTATGCATCATTCCTTCTGCTCTTGAGCCTTCATTATGAAGCACTTAGTAAGTAAACAGACAACTAAGTGGTTTGTTTGGTCCTCCTCCATGGCGCGTCTAGAAAGATCTAGTATAGAGGGTGACCCGAGGACCTGTTGATATACCAAGTATTGTCCATTTCAGACTTCTGTAGTTTAATACCACGCTGAAATCTTACTTTCGTGCTAGCTGCCGTAGTTTTGTGCAGACTCGTGAACCAAGACGTTGAGGGTTCTAAGACGGAAGCTGTCGTTGCCCAGTAAGATCTCAGCTATACTGACCTGGCTTGAGGCACCCACTCCATCCTGTCATACTAATCTGCCGCTTATATCAACTATCACCTGTGATTGTTTTTTTTTGTCATGTATACACAGAATTTGGGACTAATAAATATATAATACAATGTAAATATTGAGATGTCGTGTTATTCACCTTAATTTGTCAAGCGTTATTATAGCAATTTGTAGTTATGACATATTGTCTGGGCGCAGATGTCGACAGTAGTGTACTGTAGGCAGTGATGTGAAGTGTTATAGTTTATTGTGCACCTCATACTCTTTATGTGATCGGTTCACAGAGGGCACAAGAAGGTACAGTGCTGTATAGCCATCCAGGCACAGCCCTTCCTCTTGGTAATTATTTTTACCGAAATTGTCGATGGTAAAAGTTTCTGACTAGGCTACGTATTGGCCACACAATATTAACTTGCTCATTTATGTCAGAAAAATCTGACCCATGCTGTGAGAACTGCCATGTTCTCAGACCATTATGGATAATGGACCAGGTCCTGGTCTATTATCCAGGACGAGCCGAAACGTCGTCGTTTCTTCATTTCCTGAAGTGTGATTTGGATATTATATCTTCGGCATGTTAGTGTGAGTCTACGTCTGCTATAGTACCATGCTCGGTAAGTCACTCACCGGTGGTAACGTACACTAGAGGCAATACATGTTTTGGTAAAAATAATTAATGGAACGGGGATCAGTGGCTAAAAAATAACAAATGTGAACGGAACTGCGTTCATTCATAATTACTGGTAAGCACAGCGTTTGTTTCGGGACAATGGGGAGTCAGAACGATTGAGCGTTATTGGATTGTCACATATACTACGTCACTACCTGAGATGACTTACTTGCATCTGATAGGCCAATAAGCGGAAGAGGGAGGAGCCTAAGGGGTGGTTAGCTGGTCGAATGAATCTAGCTCGTTCAACCAGCATATATTTTTACTTCTAAACTAAAAGATTCGAATTAATAATTAAAATAAATTGTTTACAAAAATATCATCTACATAAATGGAAAGAGTAAAGCGAAAGTTTCAAGAAATAACCTTTTGCTCGAAAGATGGAAGATATTTGGCAACCAGCAACTGCAGGTTGAAGCAGCTCCTTAGCAGTGGTGGCCGGAGGGAGGAAGCTCTCCTCGCCCTCACCACATCATCGTCCGCTAGTCACCTTCCCACGGAAGTTATCGTCACTCACGCTCGGCATCTTGACAACTCTCCATGTGTGACGCCAGGGGTCCGGCAGGTCCGTAGCGCCACTCGTGTGCTGGACGAAGAGGACCCTAGCGAGGGCGGACATGTGCACTATGGACACCAACCCAACCACCTCCGCCTTGGAAGGGGCTCTCGTCTCCAGACCTGACACCAGACGCGTGAGTTTACAATGATTGGCTTAGTGATCTAGCATAGGGGGGGGGGGGGGTTTGTAGGTTTATTTATGTGTTTTATTCTTTCCTGGCACTATAATAGGACAGTAATTATGATTACTAATCTCTAGGCCATGCAAGCGTGCCTGTGCTGTATTTACTGTGTGCCTGCAGGACCTCGCCTTCTAACCGCTAGTTGTTTAATGTACTCACTCTCGAACTATTATCCTGTCTTATTTACGACTTTTATATTTCTCACACATCCCCAGTATCAAGCCCGTAGCAGCTGTCTAACTCCCGGGAACCTATTTACTGATAGATGAGCAGGAGCATCAGGTGAAAGAAATTGCCCATTTCTGCCTCGGACGGGAATCGAACCCGGGCTCTAAGGACTACGACCCCCGAGTAATATTCACTAGCCGCGAGGCTCCCGTGTGTGTGTGTGTGTGTGTGTGTGTGTGTGTGTGTGTGTGTGTGTGTGTGTGTGTGTGTGTGTGTGTGTGTGTGTGTGTGTGATAGCCTATCTATAACTACTGAAATAAAGAGTGCTGATCTTGGTCCGTAGTCGTCTTTATTTAAATTATCAAATCAACTTGGAATTATTTCTGTGGCTCGGGCATCTAGCAGCCTCGTCGTGGAGTGTCAAAACAAAAACACGCTGAAAGAGAAGTTTGTTTTTTCTACCACAGACGTGGCCACACAGTTACAATGCTAATCAGTATATATTCATTTTCTTCTGTCCTCCATGGATAGGGTTAGAAATCTGTTAAACATATAGTTCAGTGATTTCTTGAACAGTCAACCACAGAAGGTGATTGTATTGCTTTTGAAATGTTAATCTAACCTACATAGAGAAATACATAAATACACAGATTTAGGTCTGTCCTACATAAACCGGTGTGTCTTATTACATAATGTCATTAGTGTGCGTTTACAAAGGTGAAATGCAATTCTCACCAGCTTCCACATATCCCGTATACACACATGTATATACATATATACATATATACACATACATTTATCTCTCCTACTTTGACAGGGTAAGGTAGCTGCTATATAAACTAGTGTGTTATTAAGCACATAATCACTGAAGGTGATTAGGATGCTTTTACAAGCTTCGGTTATAGTTACATCACAAACATTGTATAACTGATGCATTACATAGTCAATTTTGGGTACAAGTCCAATATATCATCCAGTGTTCCTGTATTCATATAGTAGTTACAGAGTTCAGCATACCTCAGCCCAGGAGGGCGAAAGTCTGTCAATATGGGACATTCTACAATACAATTTTCATGGGAATGCTTGTTTTCTCTTTCACAAAGTTGACACATGGCGCCCGGGATCGAACCCGGGACCACAGGATCACATGTCCAGCGTGCTGTCCGCTCGGCCGGCCGGCTCCCTAGAGCCATGTGTGTGTGTGTGTGTGTATGTGTGTGTATGTGTGTGTGTGTGTGTGTGTGTGTGTGTGTGTGTGTGTGTGTGTGTGTGTGTGTGTGTGTGTGTGTGTGTGTGTGTGTGTGTGTCGTGTCTACACAGTATGTACCGTAAGGAAGTAATTGTTCAGTGGTGTAACGGTTAGAACATATACAATATTTTACAGCTTTTCTTACATTTGTTACATGAAGCTACAATTGCTATAGCTTAGAGGTAATATTGTTTTATAGTTTAAGTACTTAGACTATAACGCTTCTGCCTCACCAACATAGCAACAATTACAACCTCTGCCTCACTCACATGGCAAGGTTAACCACCTCCGTGTCGCCCACAGAGCAACAAGCCGCTGATGGAGAAGAAGCGACGTCAACGCATCAACCGCTGCCTCAACGAGCTAAAGACCCTGGTGCTGGAGGCTCTCAGGAAAGATGTGAGTACTCCTAAAACAAATCTTAGGTCTGTAAGACGGCGACAGCTGGCACCTAATTAGACTTTCTGCTTGACTTTTGCTTGATAACAGTTGTCTCATGTGGTCACGTTGATTGTAATTGCTGGTAGGTAATACAGTAATGTTTAGACATCGTCTCCTCTCCCCAGCCCTCACGCTACAGCAAACTGGAGAAGGCGGACATCTTGGAGATGACGGTGAGACACGTTCAGGCCCTCCACCTTCACGAGGCTTCCAGCTGCAGGACGGTGGGCGGTGGGCGGGTGATGAGCGGCGGGAAATCAATTGGCAGTGACGACAAGGCGAAATACCGCGCTGGGTTTATCCAGTGTGCTGTGGAGGTCACGCGGTACCTGACAAGCATGGGCGGAGTGCCTAACGATCTTCACAACAAGGTCATCTCTCACCTCAACTCGGTCACTAGCAGCGTCACGGGCGGGCAGGGTGTGCAGCACATGCCCGGAGTACCGATGGGTGGTGCCAGCGTGATGGTGGGCGGGGGTATGGTAACTGTCGCCCCACCCTCCACAGCCCACACGCCCACTACACCTGCGCTCGTCATCACAACTGCTGCAGACTCCAGCACAGGTGCTCTCACCCTGACGGACAGACCTGAGTGTACACCTGCTAATGTGCCCCTCAGAACGACCCCGCCGCTCATGTCACCAGAAGTGGCTGGCGTGGCGGTGCCCACCAAGTCGGTGACGGTGCGTGCGGGGGTCACCTTAGTGCCTGCTCGACTAGCCTCTGGCCAGGTGGCGCTCGTGCTCCCTCCTGGCACTGCTCTTCCTTTAGACTCTTCCCAAACAAAGCCACCCACTCCGTCCCACTCAGCTTATAATATTTTAAGAAGTGAGCCTTCAAAGATCACTGTTCCGTCCATTTCGTTCAGTACTTCATCTAAAACAATCGGTGGCGCTGGTGAAAGAACAGCGCCTCCTTGTAATACATTCCTGAAAGGCACTGAAAATGTGTCCTCAACTAGTCCCGGAAGCGATTCCTTGTTTCCGGTTAATATAAATACTTCAAAAAATATAGGTTACACCCTACCGAAAAGCTTTTCACATTCAATGGATGTAGAAACTACTGTCTCTTCTACTCAGTTCTTGTCTTCCAAAAATCTTCAAAATATTTCTGGCAATAACGCAGAGATGAGTGGGGTCGCCCTCTGTAGCGCGACGTCTTTAACTTCACCTCAGCCTTTGTCACCAAACGTGGACGGATGCAGCTGGACACAAACCAGCAGTGCCACAACCCAAACTCTGACCAACACCTTACAAGAAGTCAGCTCAACCGCATCTTCCTCTACCACACAAATTCAAGCATCACGTGACCATTCCTCGGGATCTAATGGCTCGACCGTACGGCCAGTACTCCCTGGAGTGGTTGCCACCAGCTCTTCTGTGCGGTCCGCTCCCACCAACCTCCAGATCTCTCTAAGTTTCTCCAACAGTAGCAGAGAAGTTACCAGCACACTCTCCAACCACGTTATTCCATCGTGGCCCATTATCAGCTCTTCCATGCCCGTGAGACCCACTCCCACTGTGCCTCGAGGAGCCCACTCCACCTCCTACTGCCTCGGACAACCCAGTCCTACTGCCCCGGACAATACACAGTCTTACCATCACACAGCACATCCACTCGTTCTCCCTGCCAACGAACCATCTACAGTATCTTCGCCTCCTTCCTCTCCTGCTCAAGAGCCTCTTAATCTTGTGACAAATGAGCAGTCGCGAAATGCTGTGTACGGCCGTCGGTCATTGAAAGCGGCCACTGTACCGTACTGGCGGAGAGCTGCACCGTACCGTGTCCCACCTCCGGGCCATAGCTCAGAGCCCTGGCGACCCTGGTGACAGTTAGTGATATATGTATTCAGAGTCTCATTGAGTTATTATAAGATTATATTATATTAAACACCTTTATTTGTTTTATTAACAATATTAGCTCTCATTCATTTTCATCGTCACGCGTTCATTGGGACATCGACCACCCTGAGTTCCCTCATGTCTCGCTCAGTGGGTAATTGTGATATATTGCAATTGTACAATCCTCGAGCAAAAAGGTTTACCATCCATCGGCGTTATTAAGGAGCGGGAAGGAATTGTGATACGAGGTTCTATAAAGGAGTAACTTGCTGCGAGCTCCTCGACCAAGAACTGGCAGGTAAGGTCTGTACTGGGGCTAATGTATCACCTCGCCTCCTGCAGTGACGACACACAACAAGACGGCCATCACTGAAGTATATTGCTCATCTACGTCGACTGACGCCTTACACTGAGGTATATTTCTCGTCTACTTGGACTGACGCCCTTCACTGAAGTATATTGCTCATCTACGTCGACTGACGCCTTACACTGAGGTATATTTCTCGTCTACTTGGACTGACGCCCTTCACTGAAGTATATTGCTCATCTACGTCGACTGACGCCTTACACTGAGGTATATTTCTCGTCTACTTGGACTGACGCCCTTCACTGAAGTATATTGCTCATCTACGTCGACTGACGCCCTTCACTGACGTATACTGAGGATTATAAGGAGGGGGGGGGGCAGGGAGGGAAGGGAAGGTGGGGTATTGGGAGGGGAGGAAGATGGGGATAGTGGGAAGAGAGACAAGACCTTGTGTACTGGTGGGAGGGAAGTGATTGTTAGGAGGGGGAGTGGAGGGTACAGAATTAGTTTTGATTATCCGTGGGAATAGTGGAGCTCTATTATCTACAGTGTTCTCTGTCTTTCTGCGAGACGTGTATATATGTTCTCAGGAATATAAAGAGCGAAGGGTGTGCCCTTCTTTAGTTCACTTTACTGGGTGGTAAGTAAGCGCTTGTGCTGGCCTTATCAATCCTCCATAAAAGGCCAAAAGCCCAATACCAAATCAATGATTCTAGAACCAATCTTCTCTATATTGCTTGTGTTCTTTATTTGGGAAAGAAGAAGCAAACTTAACTCTCTAAATAACATGTTACTCTTTCCATGACCCTGAAGCATATTGTTAAACGATGAGATTCGCTAAATCACGCATTAACATCATCGGAGGCGGAAATATAGTGACTATATATATTGGTAGTGACAACATTATATTCCACACAGGTATGAATAGAAGTGAAGTGATTATCCAATCGTTGGAACTGGGGTAATAATGCCCTGCATTCTCACTGGTCTCTTGCAGCAACAAGTGTGGTGTGGTCTGTTAGTTCTGCTTTGGGCTTGTAGACGATAGGATGCACCTATGAATAAGCTGGCTGTTGATAAATACAGATGAGTGTTTGACATGAAGCGCTTTAGCTATGTCTAATCTATCTCATGTTCTCACCTTCCACTCAGTTTCTTCACCTCCTCCCCCACTCTTCACCCAGTTCTTTCAACCCCTCTCCACCTTTCATTCAGAGCCTTCGCCTACCCTTCTTCACCAAGAGTCTCACCCCATCACCTCCCCTCACGCAGCGTCTTCGCCTCCCCCCATCCGCACACACACACTTCCGTTCAAGACAGTGAAGTAATATGGTAGTGGTAATATGACGGAATGTGTGGGAACTCGTCCGGCCGCATGGGAATCCCCCCACGCTCTTCTTCCCCCCCCCCCTTCCCCCACATCCTTCCCCTCCCACCTCCTGAGCTCACACTCGTACCTCCTCTCCTCCCTCTACTCCCACACTCCCTCACCTCCTTCACCTCAACCACACCCCACCTTCCCACACCCCATCTCCACACCCCCCTCACCCTCCCAGCACCCCCTCCCCAACACCCCCCCACCTCCCTCACATCCTCACCGCCCCCATTCATTGTACATAACATCATGGACAAATTTTCGGCTCCTGTGTCATAGATGATTTGGTGCTGTTGAGAGGTTTTGTGGTATTAATGGGGTAGGTTGTATGTGGGGTTGTTGGTCCTGGGTTGTTAATGAAGTTGAGAGTTATTACACACAGAAATCACAATTGCGTGATGCATCAAATGAACAAATCCACAAGGGCCGTGACGAGGATTCGAACCTGCGTCCGAGAGCATCCCAGACGCTGCCCTAATCGACTGAGCTACGACATGGTCAAAAGGAGTTGAAACCGAAGTTCTACTGAACTTACTGGATCCTGCAGCCTCTCCGAGGCACAAACCAGTTCAGTAGAACTTCGGTTTCAACTCCTTTTGACCGTGTCGTAGCTCAGTCGATTAAGGCAGCGTCTGGGATGCTCTCGGACGCAGGTTCGAATCCTCGTCACGGCCGGCTCCTTGGGGAGCCGGTCGGCCGAGCGGACAGCACGCGGGGCTTATGATCCTGTGGTCCTGGGTTCGATCCCAGGCGCCGGCGAGAAACAATGGGCAGAGTTTCTTTCACCCTATGCCCCTGTTACCTAGCAGTAAAATAGGTACCTGGGTGTTAGTCAGCTGTCACGGGCTGCTTCCTGGGGGTGAAGGCCTGGTCAAGGACCGGGCCGCGGGGACACTAAAAAGCCCCGAAATCATCTCAAGATAACCTCAAGATAGATGTGTGGCAAGGACAGGTAAGTTCTCACGGAACCAAGTGAGTACTTGTAAAGTAAGAGTTGATGTTTGCACCGTAACAATTACAAGTACGAGCAAGTACAAGGTATGTTGGGTTTTATCTATCATTTGACTAGCTAGTGTGTGTATAGATTGTATTGCCACCACCGGAGGAGAACACCCAACTTGTTTGGCCGCGGTAACAAAATTTGTCCGAAACGCTGTACGTATTAGTGGCTTTGGGCATAGTATATACTAGTTCTTTCTACAAATCCAACATTCTGTTTGTAACTCATTTTGTATTTACAGTATGTACTTTTTCCACGAATAAACATTATCATTATCAAACTGGAGTTTCGTTCGTCTGGTGTTCAGAAGAAGTAAACACTAGCGACCGTTAATTAACCGGAGATGTGAGAGAGCCCGACGTCCAGCGACGGGATAATTGTCTGTTAACGACTGACAAGGCAAATTTCTTGCCATTTGTTACAAATGTCATAGGAACAAAGTCTGAAATATTTTAAGCTCTATCAGCTGACCGACCGAGGGCACCATTATCGCTCCGCCCAGCAACGTAGTACCTCTTAGATTTGTCGTGATTAGTAATAACCTGTATTATATATAACGAACTTTTGTTAATGAAAAGTGGACTCTTTCATATTTGCTACAGACAAATTATTGTAGGTGTAAATATTTAGACCTTCCTGAAACTGGCCGGAGATTTGGTATCGAGGGGCGATCCCCGCCAAGCAGCGTCAGACGGAGGCAAGATGGCGGGCGGGGGTCGTACGGGTACCGGGAGGTCGCTGGTAAATCCTCTTCTCACAGCCCAGATATATCAGCTAAGACATTTGTTGTATTCTGAAACAAAGCCTATTAACTTGGAGATCTTGTAAAACACATTGGACAATATTTAGACATACAAATGTTTCAGTTTTCCTACCAAATAGTGTAGCCAAATTTTCTGAGGCTATTTGATTCTATACTTGTATGAGGCATCCGCTAGTATGGCGTGAGTATTTGAGGTAATGTGGAGCTGTCTCCAATAATATGGTGTGAGATGATGTAGAGTTCTGCAGGATTGGTTGTATTGGTCAATAGGTTTAGTGATCCAGTGAGATACACCACATGAATGATCGTGTACGCTTTTTCTTTAGTAACTATATTTTAATATTCACCATCGGTTTCTGTATTCCCTGAGGGTTTTCCTTACGCAAATAAAAGCAGGCTCGTATAATAAATCTCTAGAAGTATATCTAGCATCATGTGAGGCAGGGAAAAGTTAAGATATATTGTAGCAATGACTAATACACAAATACAATACGTAACGATGTATTTTAAGGGCAGCCTGTCCGGGACGCCATAGTCACAATACAATAGACATTACCTGGTTGATGGGGTTCTGAGAGTTCTTCTACTCCCCAAGCCCGGCCCGAGGCCAGGCTTTACTTGGGAGAGTTTGGTCCACCAGGCTGTTGCTTGGAGCGGCCCGCAGGCCCACATACCCACCACAGCCCGGTTGGTCCGGCACTCCTTGGAGGAAACAATCTCTTGACGACATCTACGGTTGTTTCGGCAAACGTTCCGGCGACATTAGTGTCGATTGTGTTAACAGAACTATTTCAGGTGTTTACTTGGGCAGTGCCATACCTTAGTCTAAATGTATGTGTGTGTGCGTGTATATAGATAAAAGTGGTGTAGATAATGGGTGAACATGCTTATATATATTTATAGAGTATATTATAACATAGCGTTGAAGCACAGATATATTGGACATACGATTGGTATATTCGTAGTGTTACTTTTTTGCACCGATTTTTTTACCTTAAATACCTGCCTTGAGGTTTATTCACCTGTACTCTGGTTAATGAGACATTTTGAACCCAAACTCGATAAAAAATGTATAAATGCTGATTAGCGTTGTAAAAGCACTTTAATTGTTCGTAGTATGGCACTCAATAACTCGCTATGTTGTTTAACAGCATTCTAAACCCTGTCCATGAAGGACAGAAGGAATCGTACATTATGCTGATTGGCATTGTTTAAATGTATGGCCACGTTTGTGGTAGAAAATGAAGTAAAAAAATAAAATGTTAAAAAAATAGCGTCACGCCCAGACTAAAGTGCGACGCTTTCAAGTTCCAAGTATGTTTATTGAGACAAGAAAGAAATACATCTTAAAGGGAAGGTGCAACGCTTACTCTGAGGTGGAGAGAACCCCAAGAAGTTTGTAGTCGTGTTGCAGATGTGGGGTTCTTGAGATGTTGCAGATGTGGGGTTCTTGAGATGTGTTGTCATTGTGGGGTTATTGACGTGAAGCTCGTGTGAATTTTTGAATGCTTGCTTGTAGATTTGTTGGAAAGGCCGGGGGGGGGGCGTTATCACAAGAGATTGTTAGTTACTGGGTTACTGCTTGTCAGATCGTATGTGAAGTTGTTT